AAGCATGAAAATTAAACGAATGGAGATGTACAATCTTTGACGATTAGCAGCAATCAAAAGCACTTTTATCTCCCAAAATTCTTGAGAGGTGTACTTGAAATCGAGACAACTCTAATAAAGCAGCTTTATTTAGCCAGAAGGGTTTGGAAAAAAAGTAAGCAATTATTAGTGAATGATTTGCTGTCATTGTACTGAAGATGAAACGAGAAGATACGCTCAGGCTTGTTGACAAGAAACAGAAGAAAAGAGAAAAACAATTAAAGAAGAAGAAGAAGACAAAGGACAAACAATGAATATATATATATATATATATATATATATATATATATCTAGCTGGCGAGATTTGTACCAAGCATAGAAGAAGCTTTTTAATTTCACATTAGCAAGTATAGTAGCTGACAAACATTTAAACACATTTAAATTAACTAGAATCATGGGAAAAACATGCACAAACTGATACGAATAAAATTTTATGCTCAGTGACCCACAAATATGACTAAATGAGAAGAGGAATCTTTGTTGGTGAAGCATCAAAGGAGGTTGGTGAGATGGGAGAGATGGAATCCTTAATTGATAATACGACAAGCATGTCCGTGTGGAAGAGCAGAGTGTTTTTTTCTAACCCAAAAAAAAAAAATAATAAGTGGGAGTGGGGGTGGGGGTCGGAGATTAAGTGGGAGCGGGAAACCAAGCCATCAATGAGCACACGAGAAAGAAGATATAGTTATGATAAGAAAATTAACCAAGGATCATAAGGGCAAATGGAAACGAGGCGAAGACCCAGCCACAGTCATCATATATGTTGCAGAAACTCGGGAGGCTGACTAGCTCTACTTAGTTAAAGCAAGCTAGGTGAAAAATACCAAGGTACCTACTTGAATCTGCTACTTGAATTTGGAAGGAGGAAGAACCAAACAATTGGACTCTCGTTGGTTTGAATAGATTAAGAAAAGAAGGGGAGATGGAGGAGCTACCATCTTTATTAGATGAATGGATTTATGTTTGGCGCAGTACGTTTTACTTGTCTTTCTTAGACTCCTTGTGTTTTGATGCATATACTAGACGATTTGTTGTCTGTGCTGTATATGCATTTAGTTCATTAATTACGTGCATGATCTAATAAAAATACCCGTGCTGGCTAATTGGTTTTGCTCGCCCGAATCGAACTGGTTCTAAGCGACAAGAATCTAATTCAAAGGCTCAACCGGCATTGAGCTGTAGTACAACTGCAACTGAAGGTAGACTTTTTTAACTTTCAAAAAATATATATTGAGAATGAAGAAGCTTGGGCTTGGGCGGGGTGTATGCACAAATGTGTTGTATTCTTATTTGTTTATATTTTTTTCTTTTCGCCCAGCTCGTGCATGCATGCTTGCTTGCTTTTGATTTTTGTCCTTTAAACTCGTACCGAATCGAGTGGTCCGATCCCACAAACCAAGAACCGGACATCTGTCCGATCCGAATGTTCCTCCAAGCTTTCTTGCAAGGTCACGGTTAAATCCGGTCAAAAATTGGCAAGACCTTGGATTTTTTTCAAATTGCTTTGTTGATTTTTTTTTTCTCAGCTAAATCCGTTTATTCCTCATCCCATTTCTTCCTCTATGGGTCCGCTTCGTTCATGTTCATGGGATGATACATGATTGGATTAATTATCCTGTGGGTTCGACTCCATTAATCAAAACGAACCTTAAATTCATTTGTTAAACAATATCTAATCATAGATCTAAAGGACAAAGAAAATAGCGAGAAGGATAAAGGAGAAGAGATAAATTTTTTAAAAAAAAAAAATTTGAGTTTGAAAAAAAAAACTAACTTGTATAAAGCTCGAAAAGACAAAAATTCAATTAATAAAAGAAGAGTAGCAGCGGAGAAGCAATTTCGCTGACCCTAACAACAAGTAGCGGTTCAACAAAATTATATTCCATACCCTAACCCTAGTCAATTGGTTACCACCCACTAATCAGCTAACCCGTAGGATATGGTCGGATATACAAGGTAACTCGACTCTCATGTACTTGTAGAAAAAGAGAAAAACAGAATTAGATTAACAAAGAAAACAATACAATAGTTGTCCAAATTAATAAAAATGTTCAATCCTACATCTCTAAAAAAAATCACTAACAAAATTGAAAATCAAAACACAATAGATAATTAAAACAAAAAATATTTCAAATATTTATTTTCATTTTTTTCTATTTCTTGAAATCTATTAATTCATTTTTTATTGAAGATGATAGATTATTTTACAACAAAAAATGTAAGCTCTAAAAATTAAGAACAAAATCAATAGAGTGGTGAAGTGGATAGAATTCATGAGAAAAGAAAGAGAAAAAATAGAATAGTAGAGTAAATGAAATTAGTGGCAACGAAGATAGGAAATTGACAAAGTAATAAGTTGTGAAAAATAAAATATATAATGTCATGGGGTTCATAACTTAAATTATTAGTAATGGACTAAAGAATTATGGGTTGAAGTTTGGATACTAGTTATCTTAACCAACTTTGGATATATACGAGTAGGTTCAGCTAATCGCGATTTTTGAAAATTGAAAATCATACCTTAACCTAATTTTTCAAATAGGTTCGAGTAACCTAACCATTTTAAAAATTACAAATTGGTTACCCTATTTTTGAATTTGAACCAATTCAGTTTTTTGGATTACCCCTCTTTTCGGTTCCTTTTTAACATTGCTAGCGGTAAGGGAGTAGACGAAATGAATAAGAAACATGAGAAATTAGTTTTTAGGGTTCAAAATTTTTTCAATTCTACGTTATGACTCCTAGAGTTTTACAAAACTATTAATTCATCTGGAAATATTATCCCAAGTTTTAGTTTTATTTGCACATAAACCCCTGAGTTTAATTCTAAACTTGTAAAAAGTGTGCATTTGGTTGTATGAATTGCTCATTGGTTATTCATATTTGTATTTTATTGTTAAGAATTTTTGGAACATCACACATTCATGAATAAACCTTTCATGACACTGGACACTGCAGACTTTTGATGCCTGCCGGGACACACGCAAAAAGTTAAACAAATAGTAAGCATGAGAAATTATTGAAGGCTCTAACTTACCCCAAAGAAAAAAGAAAAGGAAAGCCTAAAGCTGCAATTTTTTCAGTTCACATTCGTCATGAACGACAAATCCTGCCGCAGTGCATGCTCATCACCTTTTCCATTTTTTGTGCTCTGTCCCTGTACCTGTTAAACGAACCCAACTGTTCGTTTCGACTCGTTCGTATTCGTGAAAGGCTCGTTCGAAATTTTAAACGAATTGAGTTCGAATGAATTTTTTTGTTCGATTAATAATCGAGCGAACACGAGCATGTTCGCGAGTTTTGACGAACGTTTGCGAACATGAACATAATTATCATTTGACAAATTTTAAGGTTAATTTTATAGCTGGACTTTTATATTTGGAGGGCAAATTGCTTTGTTTTATTTGTTGTTTTTATGTTAATATTAGTTATACAGTTAATGAATAATAGAATTTAGTCACTTAGTGCTTTAATTGTTTTTTAGAATAATTAATGATTTGCATGGCATATTTAAGGTTTAAAATAATTTGGATTTGAGCATTTCGAGCATGTTCGCGAACGGCTCGTTTATGTTAAACGAGCCGAACTCGAACTCGAACTTGAACACGAATTTTGCTTAATGAGCTGAACACGAACACATGTTTGGAGTTCGAAAATTAAAGAACGAACGCGAACGTTGTTCGAATCACTTAACGAACAGAGCTCAAACATGAGATACTCGGTTCGATTCGATTCGTTTACAGCTCTATCCCCCATTTCCAGTGAATCTGTAGACAGACAGGTTCAACCGGGAGTTGGGCCTACTCCTGGACAGGGAAAAAGTCAAGCCCAACTGCACTTTGGGACTTGAAGAATTGCTGCAAATTTATAGGTCGGTAAATCTTAGGTGCGACCCCTCCAGATTGGACTTTTGAATCTGCCGAAGATAACAGCCCATAGTCTGTCACCTTCGTTGGGCCCAATTGTGAGAGCTATTTTCGAGTTAACTGGTAATTTGCTAATTCTCGGTGGACAATTGTTTGTCGGAACCCATCTAAACTTTAGCCGCACAGAAACTGATAATTGGTCCGATCATGCCAATTGACCTGTATATAATATGGAGCTCAGAGTCGTTGCCTTTCCTGCACTGCACAGCATCAAGATTCATTCAAGATGTCTCTGCGGCGTCCATTAATATGGTGAGTATTTATTTCCTCTGGAAAAATGGGACAAAGAACGGGGGTTGAAGTTGGAGGTCATGTTTCGGTTATTGTCAAGGTTCCCTCCCTTTGAGATTGATACCACCTGAACTATTATACATCTACATGTAGTATAGCTTTTGTTCATTGCGAAGAAAGTTGTTTAAAGCTGAACTATAACTGGTAGTGTATTTCAAAACCATTGTACTAACAAACCATTTTGGTCCTTACTTTCTCGTAATTTGCCTTCTTCTTTACCTAAAAGGCATCTTGAAATGGCTGCACTTGAAAGCCTCAAATCTTTGGCAGACAGTGAGGATGTGTCAATTGAAGTCGTTTTTACCTTTACCAAAACTGGGATTGGATTCGTCCGGCATTTGCCTTTGTTTTGACCCTCAGGTCTTGACCAATTCCAGCTAATCTCTATCCAGGTCTATAAATGAATTAAGAACAACATGTACCGCGAGCTCCAATTTCACAAATTTTTTCTTTAGTAATGTTCAATTCGCCCATTAATTAACGAACAGTTTTAAATGGCAGACGCGCTAATCGCACCAGAACATACACGATTCAGGACAATCGACAGGGCTCAGATGATAATACTCGTCTATTACTCGGAAGAAAGAAAATACTACGGGACGACTCTTTTAGAAGTGGCCAAGAAACTTAAAATTAACAGAATTTTAAAAATAGGGAATATCGGATTTGATTTAACCCAAAACAACAGGGTCGTGGAAGAAGAAACTTGCTAACGGACGGATCAGTTAGTGAGTACGTACGACTTCACAAGTCTAACAGTAAGGCATCTTTCTTTGAGGAGGAGGCGTTTCTGCTGCTGCCGCTGCTGGAAAGGCTCCACTGATCCGAAAAACCCATGGAAGAGGAGCAGAACCCATTCCTGCATTTAGCCACAGTTCTGACACTCTCGATCAACTCTTGGGTTCGAGCCTCTTGTGCCAAAATCTCCAACAACTGTTGAGGGCTGATCACCAGCTTAACTTTCCAAAAACCACCAAGCTGATCATTACTGCTGCTTCGCGAAAATACCTCGGTATGTGACCTCTTCAGAATTCCTTGGCTATCAAACGACATCCTATATGGCACTGCAGGCGTGGATTGGGGAACGCTGTTCGACCTTACATGCCCTATCTGAGCAACCTGCCCAATTCTACTCTTGTTCATGCTACCTTTCTTCATCATCTTCTTCTTGTCGTCCTCGTCGTCCAGCGGTAGCAGGTAGTACTCACCTGCTTCCAAGACTTCGTGGTGAGCCAACGGCTTCCAGAAGAGATCATGGCTTCGGAAAATGCCGTGTCCCGGGAACTCATCGGTGATGAATTCCACCGTGATAGGAGCACCAAACTCCATGATGCCACCATTCCCGTTTACCACTTTGATGAGCACTTCATTCGCCTCTCCTACGCCTATACCTATACCTCCTCCAAACAAGCAATTCCCCATTTCCTGGCTAGCAATTCCCAGCTAGCTACTACAGTCAAAGTACTAGTAGAAAGAACTTGTACTCGATTGACAGGGTCGCTTTGCCTGACCTTTGCAGCTTAAAAGAACACTTGGTCGTCGTCGGTGGAACGAGTTCTTTACTCTTTATATTTACAGCTTTGCTTTTCTTGATTTTTTTTTGTCCGAAACGATAGAAATTGTTTTGCTTTTCTTGATGCTCCAGCCAAAAGTTTAAAAAGACGTAGTATTCAATACTAGTATAAAGAAATTCGTATTAGCGTTGCCCGCCACAACTATTGCGTTTAGTGACAATCATCTCCGTTACCATTTCTTTACATGGCAAAACTAAAGCCAACAACGAAAAGAAAACAAACCATACATAGACCAACACCCCAACTTACCAGTTCTGTGGGATCCATTCGACACTTATAGATTTCCAAAAAGAAAATTTGCTGCCTCGTGATTTCAGAGTCATATTGCTCTAGTCAAATGGAAAATGCTTAAAGAACAATGAGATTATAGTTTAGCATAGGGAGAGGCGCCTTTAGCAATTTTTTCTTTGTTGCTGGCCCAATTATCTTGCTAGTTTACATGAATCTTTTTTGCCTTGCCAACCCCACCTCCCCCTTTTAGAATGGAAAGTCCTTTTCTTCTTTGGATAGATTACATTTTACCCCCTATAATTTAGTATTTTATCACATAACTCCTTTATGATTTAAAAACCTATATATAACCCTCTTACAATTTGGATTAAAATATCACAGTTAGTTTTTCTATTAAAACTAACAGTCAATAGTAAAAAGTCAGAGTCAAACTAGTAAATTGATAAATTTACCCTTTCGTTACTTCTTTTTTTCCTCCAAACATAAAAAAGAAGAAATTGAAATAAAAAAAGATAAATAAGAAATAGACAATACCATTAACAATTTGGTTTAAAAACCTATAATGATATTTGTAGTATAAAAATATTTGGTATTTTTTATTTCTTATTTATTTCTTTTTATATTTCCCTTCCATATTTTTGTTTCTTATTTATTTTTTTTATTTTCCTTCCATCTCTTTTGTATTTAGAGAAAATTAAGATTTTGTAGACCAAAATATAGGTTTTCAAAATCACTCTTCTTTTCCCCAAAAAAAAAGAGAGACAGAGAAAGAAAAGGAAAAAAGAACAAAAGAAAAAAGTATGAAAAGGTGAATTTGTCAATTTATTAGTTTGACTTTGATTTTTTACTACTGACTGTTAGTTTTAATCGAAAAACTAACAGTGATACTTTAACTTAAACCAAAAGGGGGTTATGTGTAAGTTTTTAAACCATATGGAGACATGTGGTAAGGTACCAAATCACATGGAGGTAAAAAGATAATTTGCCCTTTTTTATAATCAATTGACAGCATATATGTTATCCTATTTTACAGGGGAAGGTTCTTTAAGAATGAAAACTTTTTTTTTTTAATCAATCCGCAACATCTATACTATCCTATTCTATAGTAAAGGGAGAACCCAATTGGGTTATATAAGTGGTTAGAGGGAAAACAGGCCTATCTAGACTAAATAGATACTTTTATACACTAATTGTATTTTTCTAACGGTAGGGTGCAGCGATTTGAACCCAAACTTATAGCCCTAAGAGGGATTTTAAATCTCTTTTGGTGCCCAACTTACCTAAGATAAATTGATTTTTAAGAGTGGAAACTCAAAGCATCAAGGGAAATCGATAATGAGAATTATACTAATGAAAGATAACTGATAGATTACTACCCCGCACACTCGCATGCCTTATCCGTGGTGTGGAATTAGTACGAGGAAATTTATGATTAACCTATAATAAAACTAGGCTACTACTAAACCTGGGTGGAATTAATCATTCCGAAAGAGAAAATGGTCACTTCCATAATGACAAGTCTGTTGTGGTAGACACTCGCATCTCATCAATTTAATTTGTCCTCTGGTTACCACTTTTTTGAAGTCTCACAAGGTTTTTGCATCGCTTACCTATCGTACTTTGACGTATAGTTTGGTTTTCACAGATCCGTGAACTGCCCTGGATTTTTTTTGACAAAATTTTTTTTTTGATTGAGTTCGATTTTGATCCATCACAGGTCAGAAGATACCCTTCGAAACCATATGTAGGTTCATTATAAGAATTTTTATACATCGACTAACAACACAATTCTCGTATTAATGATATTAATGATGAGATTGGAACATTTCAAATCCCTTTCAACTAGAGTTGGAGTCAAATGCAGGTCAACCCCTCTCCTAGCTTCACTCCAAGGAAAATGCTCATCTCTCAAGGGCTTCTCTGCTCCTCCTCACATTCATTAGTGGTGAAATTCTTAGAGAGTGAAACTCTAAGAGGGGAGTCTTCGATTCACTCCTACTCCAAACTCTGAATGAATTGTTTACGAAGCATCTGTTCTCATTCAAGCTCTTTTGCACTCATGATCCGTCATGCATTCCAAAGTTTAGGAGCCTAGGCAATGTTGTTAGATCCAGACCAGATTGATTAAACCATGAACCAGCCTTCTTTCCAAATTGGTTAGTAGTACAAAATTATTTTGGTAAAAAAATCAGTCAAAATCATAAAAAATCAACCAAACCAATGACCCGATTCGACTATTTGATTCGATCCTTAAATTTTTCTTTTTTATTTTTCTCAAATATAATTTGAATTACCTAAATTGTAAAACTTTTATTTACTAATAAGAATAAAAAAAACACCACTCGGTGTAAACAACAAAATCACTCACATCCTAAATAATCTCTAAATTAAAAAGTTTTCATTCCTATCATCTTATCAATTTATCATGAGTGATTTTGACTTGCATTAGAACGCCATATTCCCGACAAAAATATCTCAAATTAGATATGATTTGTTTTAATTTAGTTTTTCAAGTAGTTTTGGAGAACGAACATGTTGTAGACATGAATTCACATTTTTATATATAATTTTTAGGTGGATATTTGATTGCAAGCCTAATATTTTTGGAATATTTTGTATGGTTGACCAAAATATAACCAAGAACTTAATTTCAATATTTCTAAAACTTATAAAATTATGACATCGTGTTGACATCAGTGAATTTTTAGAACGGTCCGATCAATCTGATCAGTTGATTTTTGATCTAATAGTTTAGCCGAATTGCTATTCGATCTGAGTTTAATAATATTGAACCTAGGTAATAATATCCGATCAAATAACTGATGGATGAGATGTGCAGAACAAGAAGTCACGGAAAACCTATCCTCTCACGCCTCTTCTATGCATTTCTTATTTTTAATGAAATTGCAGACATTTATTAGCTTAAACGTAACAGCTTAAAACTAAGAAATGTGAATCGAGTTATTCCACAACTTACGAATTCACAACAAGAGGAAGATTATCATACATCCGTAGTTGTAGTAAATTAACCGAGTTGAGTTGGGAATAGGACTGCAAACGAGCCGAGTCGAGTCGAGTTTTGGCCTAATCGAGCCGAGTCTCGACATAATTTCATTGAACTCGAACTCGATCTCAAGCTCGACGAGTTGACAATTTCAAGCTTGAGCTCGAAAAAATAAAAATAATTATTTTATTTTTTAAAAAATAAATAAAATAATATTTTTTCCTTAATAAATAATAAAATATTAAGGATATATATGTAATTTTACTAGTAAAATTAAAAAAATATAAAATATATATATACTTAAAATAAAATATATATATATATATATATATATATATATATATATATATATATATATATATATATATATATATATATATATATATACTCGAGCTCGCGAGCCGGCTCACGAGTTAACGAGCTTAATATTTTGATATCGATTTCGAGCTCGAGTTCGAGTCGAGCCGAGCTCGATATTGATCGACTCGAGCGAGCGGCTCGATTCGTTTGCAGCCCTAGTTGGGAATGGCTCCTATGTTCGCTTTTATAATTAAGTATATTTGTACGTACATCCATGAATCAAACTGAATCATAACTACTGCAATGGAGCTGATCATGTATAAAATAAAGAAGTAGTAACACACGATGCGTTTAGAACCGCCCGCGTACAATCAGCTGAAGTAAAACTTTAAATTAACTACTACTAATTATGTCAGTTTTGGTTCACTACGCCACCTTTAGTTTTGCCGAAAGTAATAAGCGATGAATTCCTGCTGTATTTGCTGCATGCACAACTATCTGAATAAAATGCAATTGCATGCATGTATCAAATTTAATTATCTACTAAAAATCTATTTGCAAAAGAATAGCTAGAAAATATTAGCACGGCAAAGTTTGCTTGGTTCATCGATGATCATCCTTGATGTTTCCTGCTGACAAAATTTAAAACACCAAAAAGAAAAAAAAAAAAGTGTTGTGAAAGAGACCAAATGTGTCAAGTGCGAAGGTATGTGCTTATTCATCTAATTGTTACCTTTAGATCATAATAATCCACATTTGATTCATCCTCAGTAGATTCTCTTTTCATTTCTCACAATGCATATTGATTTTTTTTCTATTTCTCACAATGCATATTGGATGCACGACATGTATTTTTATTTATTAGAAAAAGACATGATCATTTTAAATTTGACTATTCCTAACCCTTATTAATAAATGAAGACACGTATCATATATCTAAATGTGCAAATGGAGAGAGTATCCAATGAAGAGCAGTCAAGTCCATCATAATCCTTCTTTTTTTTTTTTTTGTTGTTGTTGTTGTTGTTTAAATTGCGGTCACCGGCTCCAGTTCAGATTTTATGAATATGAATCCAGGGCTAAATAATCATCTGGCGCTTATATAATATATATATATATATATATATATATATATATATATATATATATATATATACACACATATATATATATGGAGATCAAGGGCACAGACGGTTGTCATTGATAATCGTCCTAAATGGTGTAACAGTTTTTTAATGAAGCGTAACTCTACTTGAACTACTCTCAAAACTTTACAACAAATATGCAATTATTATGCATGAGACCTACATGAACAGTAACAAAACATCACACTTCTATTATAACGATATATAAGCAGTTCATTTAGAATTATAAAATATTCAAAAAATGTTACACTATCTTACAACCATCCCTGCCTCGCTTCCCCAGAAGTGATTGCACACACAAAGTGCAAAAATCTACAAGAGACTAGGCAATGCCCCTTTCCCCCCCCCCCCTCCCCGGCCCCGGACTCTCCCAAAAAAAAAAACTCTTATTCCTTAAAAAAATAGTTATGTGGGTAGTTATACTTCAATTCGATCAGCTTCTATTCCTCATTTTAAAAAGAAAAAAAAAAGAACTATTGCTATAAATTTTTGCAATTTTATTTTCAACAAACATTTTACACAAGAAATTAGTTTTTTTTTTTTAAAAAAAAAACACTAAAGAGAGTTTCCTAAAAAAAATCCCGAACTCCATTGGTTGAAGTTGAAAATAGCTTACAGTAGATCAATTTTAGTGAAAACTTGTTTTAATAAGTTGACACGACTAAACAAACATTTGTACCAGGATTTTGAATCATAGAATTAAGCATTCTTGCAGGATTTTGGATCACAGAATTTTTGTTTCTCAAAAAGATCAAGAATGCAAAATTCCTTATTCGTGATGCTCCAATCAATGTGGCCCAACTTTACGACAATTTGAAGGTCTTTCCATCAATTATTGATGTGATAATACACATATTATTGTTGAGAAGTCCACCTTGAATTAATTCTACAAACATAAAGGGTCTCCATCATTATAATTGTATGGTGTATTGATTTGTTGGCGTTGCCTTTTTTTTTTTCTTTGGGTTAATGGATAATATTAAAGAGAAAAGCAATATAGCGTGGCGTTGCGAAACTGACAACAAGTGTTAGTAGTAGAGATGCAAACGAGCCTCATCCAATTATGCTTGTAATTTTTATTTTTTTTTGGGGCTGACATGACATCCAACTAGAGTTGAAAGTTCAACAACTAGGGTAAAACAAACAACGGAAGCAGCTGGGTTTCTTCACACGTGACTCTGCTTTATCAGCATACCATGGATGATAGTTTGGTGGAACGTGGCAAGGTATGATCCGGGCTAAATTTGCCTTGCTTGAATTGTAATTTCGCCTCAAAAAAGTTTTTATGATTTTCGTAAATATATTTCTCAATCATCTTTATATTTTATATAAATTAAATAAATTATTCATTATAATATATACATTTATTTCATAAAAAATCTAAAATATCATATTCTAATAACTCATATACATCAAATCGTAACAATATATTTTTCTATAAAAATTCTAAAAAATAGCAATTCACGTGAGTGGAGCAGAGCGATATCTCTAGAACAGAGTTCAAAATAGTAATCTCATGGTTTCGTGTCAATTTATGCAAGTTGTTTTTGTAACATATTACTTATTTTATTTTGGTTTTGTTCAGCCATTTTATTTAGTAATAAAAAAATAATAAACACAAAAGAATAGTGACTTGGGTCATGCATATACATCCAATCTATGATAGGGCAGAAGGTTTCATAGAAACAATTTTATATTTCAATTTAAGGCTCTTCCCCCCTTGTTTTGAGAAAGGGGGAATGGGGAGAAATAACTTACAGGAAGATGCCGGCACACTAACTTGGAAGAGATGATGGAGATAGAGGGTTCATTTCGGCCATTGTACTGGGAAATAGAATCCTAAAATGGCACCTCATATCTTTGCAAAGCGTGACAATGTTCATATTACAAATTTTGCTAGCTCAATCGCTCGTTTTCTAGAAGCTTGTGATTTGACCTTTGATGCGGGCAGCCATTCAATTAAAAACAATTTTGTGGCGTATATAAGTACGTGCATCAAGTGTAATGGAAATTGTCGACGACTTGACATTTTGGTCTTGGTCTCAAAGTCCAGTCCCCAGCCACTGGCCATTTGGTCCAGTGGTCATCACCCTCTTTGGTGATGCTGAACCCCTGACCTCCTACAAACTTGTCATTTTACGTGGCTGGTTTTCTGCCCCCACGGGATAGCTCGAACGGTCCGCTCCCCCTCCTTAGAGTATGGCGATCTTTCTGGCTTGTCCAGAGTTCGAGTCCCGCTGTTAACGTGCTCGGTGTGGAGTGGGGCCTCCTCTCCCGGACCGCAGGAAATTAATCGGGCCCCGTAAAGATTGACCTGGACACCCCTGCGTTGACCAAAAAAAAAAAAAAAGAGTCCAGTTCCCTTTAATGTAGCGGGTAGACCACGAAATCAGACCTGACCTCCTTTAATCAATCTACTGCTGGACTTCTGGAATTGTGAATCACCTGGATGCTTCTTCATTTCAAACTAGGTGGCTACTCTATACTTCATGTAAAAAAAAAATATATGTATATATATAGACACACACACACGTTGCTGGCTCCAAGTGTACAGACGCAAATTGAAAGTTGGAATTGAATTATATCATGGAAATGATATTCACGTGTTAATACTAATTTTGATAAATTCGTCTTTTATATATGTAATCTTGTCCTCAAAAGAGGAACAAAGACACAAGAATAGAAGTTGTTGTAGAAGGCTAGAAAATTTCTTCAGACAGTACTAGCGTTAAGAAAGGTGAAGGGGGAAGCCCTTTGTTACTTTCAATTAATCTTTTTCGTTCTGACTCATGACTAACCCATCGGCAGCTAGGAACCCTTGGCTTGGAATGGAATCGCGAAGGAAGCTGTTAGATGTCCAGCCAATCGTATGTTCTGGAAATGGAATATGCACACGTTGCTTCCTGTCAGTAATGATATTGATTAGACCACAATTGATATTGATTGTTGAGTAGAAATTTAAGAATATGGGGGGAAAAAAAAACAACAGAGAGAGAGAGAGAGAGAAAAAAAAAAAGAAGAAGAAAAGACTTGAAATGAAAGTATGTGGAAATGTGAATGGTGCCATCCAGGTTTGACCAGTTGACTGGCTCATAGTATTACTAATACCTGGCACATATCGCAACGGTCGGTCGGTTCAGTTGAAGTTACCCCCGACAGAAGCTATATATGTGTATGTATAGTATACACACACACACAGAGGCAGACAGACAGACAGACAGACAGCCAGAAGAAACTTTGTCAAGTAGAGAGGGTAATTAAGAGAAGATGGAGAACGGAAACGAATGTGAGGGTGCGGGTAACAAGATGCACTCACAGGCCACGACGACGGCTGGGAAGGTGATCAGATGCAAAGCTGCGGTTGCATATGGCCCAGGGCAGCCCATGGTGGTGGAAGACATCCTGGTTGATCCCCCCAAGGCAATGGAGGTCCGGGTCAAGATTCTCTACACTTCTATTTGCCACTCCGATCTTAGTGCTTGGCGAGGCGAGGTAAAGAATTACTCCTTAATGGTAATATATTTGATTCCTTCTTCACCGGCCGGGCTATGTATATATATATATATATATATAGACACACACACGCATATTTGTGGTACTAGCAGTTGATGTTTTGACGCAATCGTCATGCTTTGATTAATTGCTTTATCATTTATCATGCATGAGTTGATTTTTTTTTTTCCCCTACATTAGAACGAAGCCCAGCGGGTGTACCCACGTATTTTTGGACACGAAGCATCTGGGTAAGAACCAAGTTGTATATATTGATCACATCCTTCATTGTCTTAATTATCTTTTGATTCAATTCGCTTTTTTCCCCCTAATTTATATATCTTTTGGAAAAAAAGATTGATAGAAAGCGTGGGAGAAGGGGTTACTGAGTTGAAATCGGGGGACCATGTGGTGCCCATATTCAACGGGGAATGCGGCAAGTGCGCCTATTGCAAATCTGAGAAGACCAACCTTTGCCAGAGATTCCGGGTGGATCCATTCAAGAGTGGGATGACCGGCGACGGAACCACTCGGTTTTCTACCCAAGACGGCAAACCAGTGTACCATTTCCTCAACACTTCCACTTTCACCGAATACACTGTTCTGGATTCTGCCTGCGTCGTCGCCGTTGACTCTCAAGCTCCCCTTAAGAAAATGTCCTTGCTCAGCTGTGGCGTTTCCACGGGTCCCGCTTTTTATATATCTCTCTCTTTTTTTTGTTTTTTTGTTCCTTTTTCTTTTATTCCTTTCTTTCACTTTCACCCGGAAAAAAAAAAAAACAGAGGAATGCTTTATGAATGCAGCCATGGGCTAGTTAGCCCCATCCGCCATCCTCAGCTGGCTGATGGGACCGGCAGCTGCCGTCACTTGGCTGCTACTAACAACAACGTATCATATCATGCATCCCTATCCGGCCGGCGTCTTCCAAATTGCAACCTTTACGTTTCTTTGACCACTCCAAATAAACAACTAAGTACATGATCTAAAGTGTTACAACGGCATTTTCATTTGAAGGTCTTGGAGCCGTGTGGAATACTGCTAACGTCCAAGCTGAATCTACTGTTGCAGTCTTTGGCCTTGGAGCGGTGGGACTCGCTGTAAGTTTCAACCCCCCATTCCCTTCCCCAACACCACCATCCCCCACCCACCCCCCCCCTCCCCACGGGGCGGGGGGCGGCCTTTAAACTCCTACAAACAACTTAAGAATGGGTGGGATTTTTCGAGCCTAAGACCTTTGCCATATCCAGACACATTTCAAACATTAATTAAATATGGTCTACTCTACGTTGATCAACTGAGACTTTTTGCACAACTTAAATGAGTATTTATTATGCCTAATTTTGGTTGAAAAAACATATTTTTAAGCAATTCATTTCAGTTAGCTTTTCTTTCTTTTTTGAAATAAAAAATTTACAAAACGTAGTTGGAAAAACACGTTTTTTTTATATTGTTTTTGTGCTCAAGTTCAATTGTAACAAAATGAATTATTTACAGATTAATGCAAAAGAATTTTTTTTAAGTTTTTGAGCAATGCAGAACTAGGATAAATGCCGTGATTGCGAAGATATTTTTGAAAGGGTCACCTGTAGCAAACAAATGAATGTTTTTAAGGGCATATTAGAGAGTGAACCGAAAAATCTTTCACTTTACGGTTTGATCGGTTCAATCGGTTCAATGTCGATTCAAAGGTTTAATAATTTTTTATTTATTTTAGTATTAAAATTTTTGAATAAAAATTTAATAAAAAGCGGTTGAACCTCCCAATTTTTATCCTTTTTTATCGGTTCAGTTAATTTTTGATCAAATTTAACCAGTTCAATTGATTCCTTTGAGTTATTTATTGAATTGGATTTGAAGCATGATCGGTTCCCAGTTCAATTGATCAAAGTGTTCGATCCAATCTATTTTCAAAACATTGCTTTCAACTTTGGTCTATTGTTGATATTTCACTAGTCAAATCTTTTAGCTGTTGTGGGGGAACACCATCAGAACATGAAAATCGATTGGTACCACACCCGATCACAAGGAAATTCCTAGGTGGATCCTCAAAAAAGTTCATTTTGCACAATTTTTCGACATAGTTCAAGGAATTATACATTATAGCTCGGTGCATCAATTGGAGAATTGATATTTTTGCCTATAATACATATTCATGGATTCCGCAGGCAATTTCATTTAGCACATTTATTTTTCATCTAGTAAAATTAATTAATGTGTTTGGATGGAGATTATTTAAAATATTAATTAAAATAATTATTATAGTATTTCCTGTGACATGATGCATGTGGGATAACAAAAAAAAATGATTGAAAATATAAAAATGCATGTTAAAAATTATGCTTGTGATGTAAACAAATAATTTTTAATCAAATAGTAGCTATTCAAACACACTAAATGTTTGCTGCAGGTCGTAGAAGGCGCACGAGCTCGTGGAGCGTCTAAAATTATAGGAGTTGATATTAACCCCGACAAACGCACTAAAGGTAAATACTAGTTGTTAATATTTGCCCCCCATACACTTGGCTACTACCATTACCATCCAAGCCGCAGCTTTGCGTTTTAGTCTGAGCCCTGCAAAATAAGTGAATCTTATAACCGAATAAATAATAGGACAAAAGGTTTATTTGTTTTAATAATGACATAAGTAATTAAGATTATAAGAATGACATATTAAAGGAAGAATTATACTATTATAAATGAAGACTACATATATAATATTTAATCAATTGTTGCTCAATTGTTATACTAGCAAGTTTTGCCAAAATTAGGAACACTTACAAAAAGGAATAAGCAAACTAAAGACAGAAAATCCAAAATTGTGCAGCCCGTTCCGCTTGGAATTTTGTGATTTTATGAGTCTGTTTGGGGTTGCAGTAGCTTTTATTAAGTGTTTAAGCGTTTTTAAATATATTATTGGGTATATAGTTTAATAAGTATTTATTATATTGAATAATGTGTAGACTGAATTTTTTTAAAATGTATTTATCTCTTTATTTATTTCATGATATGGGACAAAATGATCAAGTTTAATGTTTTATTTTTTAAAACATAAAAACTATCGTGAAATCTCCAAATTTGAACTTTTTCTAAAAATGCTTTTAATACTAGAAGTTTAACTCCTAATATTGTGGGATAATGTTTACCAAATGTTTCAAAAGCATTACTAGTACTTGAAATTGTTTATTTTTATTAAAAGCACCGTAATCTAATCGAACCTATACATGCAAGTTGAAGCCGTCAACATCGCAAACGGAAGCCCAAACTGTTGGAGTCGTACTTTTACTCGCTCCTTTCGCTTTTCAGTTTCCGTGATTCATTTTTCCAACTCGGATTGCTTGGTTGAGCCGGTTGAACTATTGACCGGCCAGCTTTAAACCAGTTGAACAATTTACATTAAAGCAGCTGAATTGTCCAATTCAATCACTGAATTGTTGAACCGGAGCGATTTTGTGAGAATCGATTGGTTCAATATTTAACATGAATTAAGCCGACAATTTTGAATTGATCAACTGATAAATAATACTATTTAAAAACGTTTAACTTATAAAAGCTATTTTTGAGTTTCAAACAAATAATATTCGTTAGAAGAATAGAATGAGAATTGAAGTGATTATATTTAACAATAGTATGACTTAAGTTTCTATATTTATTTGTTTGTTTTCTAGATGTTTAATATTTATTAATAATATCTATGACGAATTTATGACATCATGGGTTAATGACAGTTAGCTCAAGTCAGCTCAACAATTAAACCAATTACCTTGACCCTTGACCCATGCATTTTTCTGGGTCAATGAATGGTCTGATTTTTCAGAACCTTGCTTTAGAACATCTCTTCAAATTATTGTACGACTAATCTCTTTTTTTTCCCCTCTTTGTACGCGGATAAGGTCAAGCGATTGGAATTACCGACTTCATAAACCCCAATGATCTTGATAAACCTGTCCACCAGGTCAGTTCCTATGCAGATGCATTCATTGATGCATTTTAGTTTCTTTTATCCCATTTTCTTTTCAGGCTCGGAATGGCACGTTTTACAATTATCTCTTTATTTTTTTTATCTAATATAGATTACATCAGAAAATGTGTTACAATAATTATTTTTAGATAATATATTCTGCCATAAAAACACATTCATTTCATTATAGAGATCCTCACTAGTCACTATCACGAGCCCAAAGGGCGAATGATAAATAAAGCAATAAAAAGAGTGAATCTTTGGGGTGTGCAGGAAATAAGGGAGATGACGGGAGGAGGCGTACATTATAGCTTTGAGAGTGCAGGCAACTTGGAAGTTCTCCGGGAGGCCTTTCTCTCCACCCACGACGTAAGAATCCGCTCTCGATCTTACCTTCAAATTTCAATGCCCTGCTTCTACTACTTTTAGCGTCTTAATTTCCATTCCCTCGTCAAAGGTTGTTGACTTTTGTGCATTAGCAAGGGACAGGGGGTATTTCGTATTGGCAGCCAAATGGGCACACCATGATTGGTTTACTCGCTAAATGGAAAGTGGAAACAAAGAAATTTTATCTAAAGCAATTATGAAGAGAAAAAGATAAAAGGAACCATGTAGCAGTTGAACCGTTAACCGGTATTTTCTAACTTACTTCACATATTTGTTGTCTTCACTCCTTTTTCTTTGTCCTTAATTTTATTTTCTTAGCACATTTCTATTTCCTTCTACAAAATTCATAATCCAAACAAAGGATTTACTTTATTTGTTTTCCTTTTCCATTTCCCTTGTACTTTCCTTTGTTAACCAAACAGGAGAGAAGATTAGGGTTTTCCTAGGAATCTACTTTCCTTTCCTTAGTTGTTTCCTAGAACCAAACAGGGCCTAAATGACTTGTACACGCCACCCTCTCAAATTTTGAAGATTTCCACATTTACTAGATGATGAGTCACTTTCTTGATATTAAAATTTTTCATATTTTTATCTATCGTTTAGATATGATCTGTCTATTTTTTTAAGGTGAGCTAGTGTATAGATTTCAACTCACACTTACTGTTTACGTTGTGTCAGAAAACTGATTTATGTACACAGTTGGAGACTACCGTTTTTAGCCATCAATTGTGTGAACTGATAGGAAGTTAATATTGCTATCAAGAGCTAAGAGGTAAGATACGAATAATGTCATCCAGTCCATAATAACCGATAGAGATGTGAATTGAATTTGAATGTGGCAAGGAGGACTTGCGCGTCTGCAAAAGGAACTCTATACTGGTATAATAAATGTCTTCTCTAGTTCATTTTTCTGTTATCGAACATGAAGTTATTAAAGACGAAGAATGAAAATATTTCAGACTTTTTAAAATCATTTTTATGTCATTTTTGATGGCGAAGAATGGAAAGATGATTTTTTTTTTTTTTTTCCAAACGATAACATTGCATTAAGCATAAACGGGTACAAAGTCAGAGCAACTGCTCCTGTAAATCAGCCTGAGCTAACTCAAGCAGCCACGCTGGGAAGCTAAGCTTCCATTCAGCTACATCAACCAGTGTTATAGCAAACTTTGCTAAATAGTGACTTGCATAGTTGTTGCTCCTTCTAGTATAGGAACAACAACATTTATCAAAATCTTTCATCAGCCTCCAAATATCCAACTGAATTATGGCTATGCTGACTTCCTCCTCCCTTGCATTGATTTTGTCCACTACTAGCTTACAATCCTATTCCAACTCCACTTTTCTCCATCCAAGAATGGAAAGATGATTGCCTGTGTGGAAATTCGTAATGTTGTGCATGGATATGGAATAATGGGAAATCTTTTATTGCGGAGCGGACCAGAAATATGATGACCAACGTTTACTTTTGCTAACACTACCTAAAATTCTTATACTTGTCACATCGGAGCAGAATTCTAGTGTTGGCTTCCAAGTAATCCGGCGATGAGAAAGAAAACAAGTGACAAGCTTAAGTGAACCGACATACATACTAATCGCAAATTTGTTAAATAAAATGTTTGCAGGGATGGGGTTTGACCGTTGTTTTGGGGATCCATCCGAGTCCAAGGTTGCTTCCTCTGCATCCCATGGAGTTGTTTGATGGCCGAAGAATCGTGGGATCAGTTTTCGGTGATTTCAAAGGAAAGACCCAATTGCCAGCTTTCGCCAAACAATGCATGTCTGGGGTGAGTTCGTTGTAATTAGTAATTACCCCCCAAAATCCAATTTGACAAACGCGGCAAAAAATCTTCCCACCTTGTTGTTATAAAAATTTGTTTGTTTTTTCTATTCCTTTTGGTCGTCCTCATCGAAGACCGTGTATGCAGGAGGTGAAGTTGGATGAGTTTATTACGCACGAGCTGCCCTTCAACAATATCAATGAAGCATTCCAGCTGCTTATTGATGGCAAGTCTTTAAGATGCCTTCTTCACTTATGAATCCTGCATGCGTGTTGTTGTTCAGTCACTTTGCTGTGGACTCACTTTCCACAGCACTCTTTATTGGTGGAAAACATGAGGAAACAACTTATCTTCCGAATTTTACTTGTGCAAGAAATTTTGATGTGACGTTCTACTCTATCTCTGGATCTTGCATCCACAACATGTACTTTTAGCATAATAACAGAGAGATTTGGTTAAAATCCAGATTTTTTTTTTCTTTTTTTGGTATTACCGCATTGACCGCAAATTCATTCCGCATACCTTGTAACAAATCTTCTCCCCATTTTTGCGCATATCTGCTAGTTACCAAATTCAGAGCTCGATCATGCAAATCATCTACTTCTTCTTCTTCTTCTTCTTTTAATGCTATTATCGTTCCCTTGTCACATTCATGTGTAGCAAATCTTCGTGTAATCTGTAGGGTTAATTACACTTTAGTGCCTTGAACCTGTCGCAGTCAAATTGCTTCACACTTCACTCCCTTGAAGATTCCATCAATATATACACAAACATGAAAAGATAATACAGGTTTTTTTTTTTTTTTTTTTTTGGGGCATGTATGCCCTTAATCGATTCAACACACAGTTGATATCTTATTTCATTTCTAATGATTTTACAAACCCTTCGAGTTTTTCTGAATATATGAATAGTATGAAAAATGTCATGTTTCCTTGTACTATGGATCTGTTATTTCCGTTTTATGTGAGTGTACAAAAAAGTTGGAATGTGTAACTCATCTTTGCTTTCTTTCGTCGTTCCAATAGGGAAACAAGTTAAACGCAAAAAGCAAACAATATCGGCACCTATACACAGAAAAAAAAAAAAAACTCTAATTCTTATTTTCATGAATCATGTTACTTATAAGTTAGTGAGGAACAACTAACTTTAAAAAATAAAATAATTATTCTAAAATATACAAATAAAATATCAAATATGTAACTACAAAATGCAAAAGTTTAAATTTTCAACAAGAAGCCAAATGCTTATTGTATTATCAACAAGTAGTTAAATTAAATCGACGTATTCTTATACGTTTCATGGGTCTATCTAGCGAGTGCCGACTTGAATATTTATTAAAATATAATTTAAGTGTTAATATATTTAAAATGTAAAGTGAAATAAAAAAACATATAAATGCAAAGTAAGGTAATAAATTATTAAATTCCATCTGATTTAGGTGTTTTAACAAGTACTAATTAGGCAGCCATTAGAAAAAGCCCATACTTTATATATAGCCAAAAATTGAGCTAGTGATCATTCATATTTGTTCAAATCATGAATCTTGTAATTCTTTCTTGGCCTGATCAGATTAACGTTGCTCTAAACATGGAGCGGACTTGTTGTTAGGATTTCTTTTTATTGTGCAATTATGTTTTATTTGATGACCAATCTTAATAGGTGCTCCATCAGATTACTGATTAGCGGACATAATCTACTATTTAACTCAAATTTATTGCTCGCCACTTTTCGATTTAGTTTTATTTTCATTTAAAATATTCTATTGGACAAACTCTTTATTCGAGCCACATCACGTGCTTTAAGGGTTTTTTTACTCTTTAGTACGCATAAATCACACTCTACTTATCATGTGAATACACATATTAATAATTATTATTATCATTTTTTATATTTACATAATTTTCTAAGTAATTTTACTCGTTTTTTAAAAAAAATATTACACTTGAATTGCATGTTAATGAGAGCGTCCAATGGGCACACAGATCCGTCTTCTAAATAGGAAAACTGTATTTGAGAGAGTAAAAGACAAGTATATATGTCATTAAGCGGGATTTTAGCACACCTTAATGTACCTTAGAAAATAATTGGCAAATAATCAATAATTAATCGGAATAGTAGGAAACCTTAGCTGGCTATGGTAAATAACACGCAACTTTACACGTATTCTTGTGTAAATCTTATTAAGAAAACGATGACGAGAATCAAATCCTTTATTGTTCGCTATATGTAGGTGGGCTGTGTTCTTTTTCTTAGATAACAACTACCGTGAATCATCTGCAAGAGAGAGAGGAAGGTTGAAGTGGGAACAAGCGAGAAGGAAGAGTTTCCAAAAAGCTGTATCCAGAAGTGTTCAAGTTCTCATCATCCATCGATGGAGGAAGGTTCAATTCTATCGTGCTTTCCACTAACCCTATGGATAAGAAATTGTTATCTGCTTTAAGCTCACTTGGATTTATTTAGTGTAACAATTTTCTACTATAAAATTTAGTGTTACTGCTATACTTGTATCTAAAACACATACATTATACATACCACGAAAGTAAATGAATGTAGATTAACAGATTTCTTATCCAGAAAAGAGAGAGAAGGGGAAAGCGGGGAAAAACAACAGGCCTCCATCGATTAAGCTACCCGGAAAAGGTTCTCCATTTCTCAGTATTGGTTAGTTTAGTTTAAATTCCCTTAGTCTGCGAAGAATCAATTGAGCCCTTAGGACCAAGGTTCTTGATCTGATTTGAACTTTCAATCGCAGTATTATGTCGATTAAACCCCTCTAACAAACAATTTGATTTCTATTCATTCCTGTCGTGCTCTTCTTTAGCCCAAGCAAGCGGCCCCCGATTAGAACATTAATTAGTAATGTTGACTTGGATACTCCTCTGCAGAATTACATGCCAAACACTACCTTCTCTAATTGTAGTGGCACTAAACGTGTCAAAACGGATGACTCGAGTGGATTTGAACGGAACGGATCATAATTGGGTAACGCGTGTAATTAAGTCAATCCATTTATATCCATTTAAATAAATGGATATAAATGGAGACACATAGGATACGAATATATCCAATTATCCATTTATGACTCGTTTAAAATTCTACTTTTTAAAAAAAAAAAATTTTTTTGCATGTTGTTTAACAAGAAATAATGGCATTTTTTTTTCACTTAGATTTGTAAGAAATTCAAATTTATCTGCCCAACCCCCACTAAAAATCAAGTTTAAATATATGATTATTTATAAATTTGTATAAATGGGTGGGTCGAATCAACTCGCTATCCATCAATTAAATGGATTTAATTGAATACCCATTTAGAACGATTCAAAGTTAATGGGCAGTTTATTAGTGGGCGGGTTATTAGTGGACGGATTTGGACAGATTAACATAATTGGATTGTGATTAACACCTCTAAATGGCGCTAATCCTCATCTCCTTTTAGGTGACACGCATTCCGCAGCAAATACCATAACTTGCAAAGGTAAGTTTTATTGCGTGTTTAATGACTTTTGTTCCCTTTGTATTTTCCCCCCATCAGAATCGCCTCCTCAATCCGTGGGGATATTTATGTACCTCGAGATATTTATGAGCTAAGCTGGAAGCGAGCAATACGGGTAGTAATAGTGATGTGGTTTTTTTGTTTTGAAGCTGCGGTGGTCTACGGTCCGGGGCAACCTTTGGTGATACAAGATGTTTTAGTGGATCCCCCAAAGAAAATGGAGGTCCGTATCCAGATCCTCTACACTTCAATTTGCCACACCGATCTTGGCGCTTGGCTAGGCACGGTATGAGACAAACCATCCTATAACGACAACTTCGCTTCAGTGAATTGATTCACAGATAGATTTGTGATTGCTTAAATGGTAAATTGAATTGACTCTTGTGGATTGGCTGCCATCTGATCTGACGCGTGCGTTTCCATCGTCAATCCTGGGAATAAAAAAAGAATGAAGCTCAAAGGGCGTATCCTCGAATTCTGGGACATGAAGCTTCAGGGTAAGGTCAAAATTTCCCCTGTTAAATTACTTTGCTCTTTTTGTCCTTCTTCCTGCTACTACTGTAAATATTGCTGGTCGTCCTCCAAGCCAAGGTAAAAATTAATAATACACACAGCTACACGATTTTTCTCTCGTTGTTCGTACGCGTTCAAATACTAACTCTCTCTCGAACTGTTAATTATAGCAGCGATCAGTATTGGATTTGATTAGCAATTAATTATTTGTTGAATTTGGTTTTTGGGTTGGGGTGCTGGAACTAACTAAACTTAACTACTGGCATGCAACGAAATGAATTAATGCTGCCTGCTGCCATTCCAAGAGTGGTAGAGAGCGTGGGAGAAGGAGTGACGGAGCTGAAAGCCGGAGATCACGTGGTTCCGATATTCAACGGGGAGTGCGGGAGCTGCGATTACTGCAAATCCGACAAAACAAATCTGTGCGAAAAATATCGGGTAAATCCATTGAAAAGCGTAATGGTGAACGATGGCAAGTGCAGGTTTAGGAGTAAAGAAGACGGGAAACCCATTTTCCATTTCCTCAACACATCCACTTTCAGCGAGTACACCGTCCTTGATTCTGCCTGCGTCGTCAAGATTGACCCCATGGCTCCCCTTCACCAAATGGCCTTGCTCAGCTGTTGCATAGCTACCGGTGCGCGCGTAACCATATAGTATCATGCATCTTTAATTTGCAAAACTCGGCTAATTCAAGCATGCATAATTTTTGTCTTATGCATATATTTTATGCATGCATTCATGAATGATGGATACGTTGCATCTGCATCATCATTTCCATTTCCTGCTTATAATACTGCATGCCAACTGCGATTCAAGGTGTGGGAGCTGTATGTAATACTGCCAGAGTGCAACCTGGCTCAACTGTGGCGGTTTTTGGTTTGGGTGCAGTTGGATTGGCGGTAATTAATAATTAAGTATCGATATTTTCAGCTGTGTCCTCACAACACAACCGATGATGATTATTTATTAATTACGTACATGAAGATGAAGTGGGAAATGTACTACTTGCAGGTTGTGGAAGGAGCGCGATCACGAGGAGCATCCAAAATCATAGGGGTCGATGTTAACCCCGACAAACTAACGAAAGGTATCACAATTAATTACACTAAACCAAAAAAAAAATTTTAAATTGCAAACTTATATATGTCGCACTAAAAATAGGAAGTATATCGATCTATTGAAAAGAAAAAAAAAATACTACTACTACTTGGTTAAAAAAGTTTTTATTGTTTTTTGGAAATGCACGGGCTAACTACTTGTGTTGTACTCTTGGTCCCATGCATTCCCGCATGTTTAATGAAGGTCAAACGATGGGAGTTACCCATTTCGTAAATCCCAAGGAACTGGAAAAGCCCGTGCATGAGGTAATGCATGTATACACTACTATACATAGGGGGGAAAAAAAAGAGCACCCGGCCACTTTCTTTCATTTTTTAATTCATAATATACGATCGACATGCTTAATTTTATGAATTAACGAAATATATAAAACACTAAAGATATATATAATAAAAAACATATACTAGCTAGCTAGTAGCGTTTAACAGACTTGGACATATATACACCACGAAAACAAGTGTTTTGAATGATTGAAGGTAATTAGAGAAATGACGGGAGGAGGGGTGGAGTACAGTTTTGAATGTGCGGGTAACTTGGATGTTGTCAGGGAGGCTTTTCTATCTACCCACGACGTAAGCCGTCCTAATGCTTGCTTATTTCTATTTCTACTTTCCATTTCATTCAGGCCTTGATCAGCTTAATTTACAAAGAAACTACCTTAAGGATTGCAGGGTTGGGGTTTGACAGTTGTTCTGGGGGTGCACGCGACGCCCGCAATGCTGCCTCTCCATCCCATGGAGCTGTTTGATGGGCGAAGGATCGTAGGCTCAGTTTTTGGTGATTTCAAAGGCAAGTCTCAATTGCCCCGTCTTGCTCAAGACTGCATGCGCGGGGTGAGTGAGCACTGACCCCATAATATTACACATTGATTACTTATTATTATTATACCAAGTTATACAGCAACCACCATAATATTAATAGCTGTATGCATACATTCGATTATCGATTGAATCACATATCATTTGGACTCTAATTGACAAAATCAACCAATCAGGTGGCGAAGTTGGATGAGTTCATTACTCATCAACTACCTTTCGAAAAGATCAATGAAGCTTTCCAGCTGCTGGTTCGAGGAAAATCCTTGCGATGCCTTCTTCATCTGTCATCTCCTCACCTCAACTCAACTAAACCTTGATCATCTTCAGAGGATTACAGCACACACATATTGCTGTACTTACTATGTTAATTACATCTTTTTCGGAGTTTGCAACATACAGGATTCATATTTATGTTTCATTTAAGCAAAAAAATCAGCTTTAGCTTAGTAAAAAAAAATATTTTATTTTTATTCGAGATTTACAGAAAAACAAAATAATGTCGTGTAAGATTGGTCTTCAATTACTCGCAACTCGCAAGCCCACACGTCCGACATCCATAGCAAATCAGCCCAGCCTCTTCAGTCGAAAGATTAAAGCGACAACCATGCATTGAATTTGATCCACTTAACTCTCTCATATATTATACCTCACAGATACATCTTCTTCTTCTTCAATTTGCATCAAGGATCATGTTTTCCAAGAATATGTTTATACACATTTGAATCCAATAATATTCTGATGATGGTTCGATGCCCTAGCTGTCTTGGCCCAAATGCCTAGTACGTCGTAGTAAATACCTAAAAAAAGGAGAAAAATCAATGAGCGGAATCCTAAAGCAATAATCTTCTTGAAAATTTCTTATTATTATTTAGTATAAGGGTTTGGGAGATGGGATTTGGTAGTGGGTTGATGTTGCGTCCAGCCTGTATTGAGATTGGGCCTCCTCTAGTAGGCGGTCAAATTGACGTAAGCTCTTTGGATTTCGAAAGAAAAAAAAAAATAGTAGGCGGTCAAATTGTGTTTTTTTTTTTTCGTCTTTGTTAAAAAGAAAATGGAAAAGGTTGACGGAGTCCAAATCTATCTAATTCTTTTATACTAATAAATAAAGAATTAATCTTCTATATACACTAACAATATATATTATTACGATTGGTTGAATATACGATATATATATATATATATATATGTAAATTTTGAATTTTGAACTTAAATTTAAATTATATATCATATATTTAATAATAAAAATATATACATTATTAATATATATATAATTTACTCATAAATAAATCATAATGATAATAATAATAATAACCCGGCCGGCCAGTTTGGGTTGCGAGTCTTGCGACTGGGATTGGGTTTTTTCTTTTTTTTGGGGGGGTCAGAAAATGGGGTTGGTCGATTATGTAATTGAACTGCTGCTCCCTTCCCTTCTTTCTTCTTTTTTCTTTCTCTAACTAATAATAATAATAGAAGGATTCGCCTCTATTCAATTCCCATTCAACCACATTTTGATACCATTTTTTTCTTTTTTTTGGGAGAGATGATGGATGGATGGATGGATGGTTAAATTCGGCGGTGTCCTCCGAAACACCTCTAATCTTCTGCTCTAACAAGAGTTTGGAGCAGCGGCATCCCAATTCCCAGGTACAAAAAGTCTTTTTCTTCTTTTTATACTACTGGGTACCTACTAGTACTGTCAGCAATTTTTCATTTTCGTAACATGAAGCTTTTATCCAGTGATTCTTACAAGAAATCCCGATGCCACTTGAAGAAGTTTAGGGAAATTCAAGGAGCTTAGGCTAATTTCTTTTATGTATATATACAAAACAAAAGAGAGATAACATCTAGTATTAGAGTAGTTTGGGGAAATTAATCGAGGGATATCTCTTTTTATTGTAATTTTAGGGATTTTAGAATCAATTACTGCTAAGGTTGCAATGAAGAGCCGATCACATAGGCTACCGGTCGATCCACGACATGAGTGGGTGGAGGAGGAGGAGTCGTGGACGGTGGACTGCGTCTGCGGCGTCAATTTTGATGATGGGGAAGAGATGGTTAATTGCGACGAGTGCGGAGTCTGGGTACACACCCGCTGCTCCCGCTACGTCAAGACTGAAAAATCATTTGTCTGTGACAAGTGTAAGAAGAGCAAGAACAATCACCCCCACCACCATGCTACTAGTACTGATAATGATTACTACAATAATAGTTTTAGGAATGATAGCGAGGAGACTGAGGTCGCCCAACTCCTTGTTGAGTTGCCCACTAAGACTTTGAGGATGGATAATCATTGTCCGCCCCCTCTCCCCTCCTCCTATAAGCCTTCCCCTTTCCCCCCTCCCCGCAGGCCCTTTAGGCTCTGGACTGACATTCCTATGCAAGACAGGGTTCATGTCCAAGGGATCCCCGGTGGGGATCCTACTCTGTTTTCTGGCTTGTCCTCTGTCTTTGGGCCCCATTTGTGGAAATGTACTGGTTATGTTCCCAAGAAGTTCAATTTTAGGTACAGAGAGTTTCCGTCTTGGGATGAGGAGGAGGAGGAGGAGGATGTGGAGAAAGACGTTAACGCTAACATTGATGATGGAGGAGAGCCTCGTATTATTGCTGATAACGGCATGGCTGATTTGTTCTCCTTGTCGAGAGAGCACCTTTTGCCTGTTCCAAAGGTTGAGTCAGTTGGTCTAGACGGCCAGGCTGAAGATGGTGAGGCTGATAAGCTGGTGATGTCCCCTAAACAAATCACTATGTTGGAGGGTCATATAAACTTGGATGTTTCCACACCAGAGAATGAGCCTAAGAAGGATAGAAGCTTGCTACAGGCTCCTGTGATACACTTTTCCAAGCGCAAGAAGGACGATGTCACTAATCCAAAGGATAAAAGCGGGAAGAAGAAGGCTCGGATTATGGAAAAAGATGGAGACTTTAAGAAGAAATGTTTACACACTCCTGGAACAGGTATTGGTAATAACCACTTTCAAGGTTTTCAGATGCATTTATTACTTCATTTTTTTTTCTCTCAGCATAAATTTTGATTTTGAGATTGTTATTTAATGATGCTATATTTTTTTTTTGAATTTGAATCTCCATCCTATAGACACTGTCACATGCAGTTTTTTTTTTTTTTTTTTTTAAATGTGGCTTGTGTTTCTTGACCCTTGAGCTTTGTTTATCTATACTGATAGCTTCGACAAACGCAAGTGATGCAAAACAATCACAAATATCTGAAGAAAGAGGCCCTAAGAACATTCAAGCGGATCCTCAAAGTGGTAATAGTGGAAACTCAAGTCACTCGCCCCCTGGCCTCCAATTATCACATGAATTCGGGATAGTAGACTATGTTGTTGATGCTCACAAATCTAATTTGGGTTCAAGTGAGAGTGGTTCAGCAAAATTATCTTTTGATGCACCTCGACATAGTTCCTCAAGTATACCAATGCCCAAGGATGCAAATGGTGGACAGCAACTTACTGTGAAGTTGGAGGGTTCTTCAAAAACTATGGGTAGTGCAGCCTCACTTTCAGGAAACAACGATTCTGGGGGAGTCCCTGTAAAACAAGAGGTACTTCTTAATGTGTTCTATTACTCTGATTCCAATAATTTTTTTGCCCTTTGCATGGTAGGATAAGTAAGCAGCTCTTAGTTCTGCTGCCTATAATGCATGAATTTGTAACATGGTCTTCTGACTAAACTGTTGGGGTGCTTGTGATGTTCGTAGAGGTAGCAAGTTAACCAGTGATTGAGAGTATTTATCTGAGAATTGCTGTTATCAACAATTAGATGTAACCTATGGAGTTAGTTTTTCAGTCTAGCTTAGTTATAATTGCAATTTCTAGCCAACACCACTCTGGGCTCGCTTTTAAATGCCACCGGTTACTGAGTGTTGCAGCAATGCATCTATCAAAGTTTGTGCTTTCAAGCAATAACAATCTCCAGAAAGTCTTTAGCACAGTTGTTTCCTTCTTCATGTTGCACGATGCGGCACCTTGCGTGCCTTGACTGACCTTTTTTTTTTTTTAATGGTTACGTTAGGTTTCCATTCGTACTGCTGTCAGTCCAAATGAATTTGGAGGGGAGTTAACAACTAAGGTTGTGATGGACTTGCAGATGTCAAGCCCACATCCTGCAGACTTGGCAACTGCCCAGCCCAAAACTGAGGTTAATGAAAATGCTCCGGATTCAAGCCTTAATACAGTCTCTAGTTGTTCAGAGGTACATGCTAAAGTCAAAAGCGAACTAGCTGATACTCATAGAAACATTCAGCCACCACCTCTATATGATGCTAACTTGGGTGCATCAGGAACCTTAGTCAAATCTAAAGTGGTATCTGCTGATTGTTCATCTGAAAATGTTGTAGTTAGTGATGTTACGATTACTGATTCTGAGGTCAGCAAAAGAAAGATGGAGGATGTTGTCAAAAGATCAGATGATGTTGATATTCGAAAAGATAGAGTAGATAGGGTTGATGGTGAATCACCGCTTAACTCTTGTCCATCTAATCATGATTATGCAGGCTTGGATAGTTCTTTTGAATCAAAGAAAATCTTGGAAGGATTCAGTTCGAATTCTGGTGTTGAGCTTTCTAAACCTGGTCTCACAGTTGTAAGTCCTAGAGTTAATGCTAGCGAGGGTAAAACCATAGCATCTGTAGGGAACTTGTCTCCAGCTTCATCAACATTTGCAATGCCAAAATCCTTTGCTTCTGAGAATTGCATCAGTGCAAGTAACCAAAATCACAATACGGATAGTAAGCAGAAGGGGATTCCTGAGAGCAATCTTGCTGGCAACCAGGGCAATGGTGGTGCTACAATTGAGGTAGTTAAGGATAAAGGGGGGCATGAAAGGACAAGGAAATTAGTGAAAGAGCTACCAAAATCCGCTCTTGGTTCTGTGTCAAAATCATCACAGTTGAAAAAGTTTTCACATCCCTCAGTTTCAAAAAGGACATCGCCTGATATAAAGGATTCAATGCTTCATTCTTCTGCCCAACCATCGCCATTGCATCATATTGCTTCGAACACTGGATCGGAGCTGACTAATGTGGTGCACATTGAGAACGCTTCAGACACAGAAAAGATGTCTAGTATGCTACAAACTGAGACTGCTTCAAGCATGCAAAAGAAAGTTCCAGGTTCTGTTTCTTCGCAGAAGGTTGAAAAGATTAGCCCTTCTATGGCCCAATCTTTATCAAAAGTGAACACAACTCTAACACATGCAGCTACATCTTCAAACTCTCCTGCAACACTAAGTGACGAAGAGGTAGGAGCTGAACAAGCATTTATTGTTTCTTTTTCCAAGGGAAGCTTACATTTTCTTTTCCGTGTTATTTGCAGCTGGCTCTGTTGTTGCATCAAGAACTTAACAGTTCTCCTAGAGTTCCTCGGGTACCGCGCATGCGTCATGCTGGTAGTTTACCTCAGTTGACATCGCCAACTGCTACAAGCACACTAATGAAGCGAACATCTAGTACCGGAGGAAAAGATCATGTTTTGGTAAGCTGACTCTTGTATTTATAAGGATTTTGCAGAATATTCTTAATAGAGCTAGTAGTGGTGGTGAACAATAATATTTGTGTTTGTAGACTTCTAGAAGAAAAACCAAAGATCTAGCTAAAGATGGTTCCCATGGTTCTCGGGAGATGGATGACGAAGCTAAGAAGATGGAGAGAGTCTCTTCTTCACTTGATCATGGTAGGCAAGATTCAGCATTTGCCTCTGATCCTGTTGGCAAGAAAGAAGCAGAGAGAGAATCAGCCAATGGTGTGTACTCTACAAAGAAGAGTAATGCACCATCTGGAGCTACTGCAGCTGGTGATTTATCTTCTCCTGCTGAAGGAAATGAACATAATTTGTTGTCCACTCGGCATTCTTCTAGAACTCCCATTGATGATGAGAAAGGAGTTGTTGGACACCATACCCACCGCACTTTGCCTGGTACACACCTTTTCTGTGAAGATTTTTTACTCCTTTTTTTTTTTTTTTTAAAATATGTTTTTATTGATTTGCAAGTTCTTTCCACACTTCCTCATCGAGTCGTTATTTTTCTGTCACAGGTTTGCTTGCTGAGATTATGAGCAAAGGTCAACGCATGACATATGAAGAACTTTGCAATGCAGTTCTACCGGTAGGGGCACTTTATTTCGATAAGATGATTGTCTTCTCCCTCCAAGCAGATTCTTGGTAGTACTGATTTTTGTTTCTTTTTATTTTACACCTCTACAGCATTGGCCTAACCTGCGGAAGCACAATGGAGAGCGATATGCATACTCAAGTCACTCACAAGCTGTTCTTGATTGCCTTAGAAACCGAAATGAATGGGCTCGCTTAGTTGATCGTGGTCCCAAGGTATGCTTCTAGACTGACTCGCAAGTGTTAAGTGGCTTGTATGTGAGGATTTGGTTCCTTCTATGTGCAAATCCATACAGGCGCTGTAATTATACTAAATTGCCTAGAGAGATGATTCTTGTTTATCCTACATGTGTGCTATTGACCATGTAATTAATCTTATTGTTGGTGTAATATACTAAGTTCTGACTGAGGCTGGTTAATCTTCTTTGATGAGAATCTCTTTACTAATTTGCATCTCCTTTCATGTTCTAGTTGAGAAACTAAGAAACATGTAGTTTTTTCAGTTTAAGAAAAAGAAAAAAGTTGGGGGGGGGGGGTAAGGAGGAAAACTGTAGCTACTTAATACTTTTTTCAATGGCAATAATGTTGACGCAGTTGGTGGATGACTATATAAAATGGAAATATTGTACAGGAAATGGAAGTTTCTCATGTCTGAGAGTAGTACATCTGACTTCCATCCTTTCCCCACCATGCGTTGTGCAGGGCTGAAAATGTAAAACCACTTGCAAAATGGTTGGGAAGGGGACTTGATATCCAGAGATGGAATTGTTCTTGGTCCCTCCTCTCTCTCTCTCTCTCTCTCTCTCAATATTTTGACAGCTGAACCGCACATATCTGTGGGCAGGGTTGGAGACTTGCACATCTGTGCATGCACTCCATACGCTCACAAATGCAAGTTAAATATAGTTTCTGATTTGGACTTTGGGGTAAATGACCTGAAACTGTTAAAACTTTGTCACTTGCTCATAGTTGTAATAGCATTTTCAGATTTGTTTCTGTTTCTTAAGATACTTCTAATTGTGCGGTTGAATGATCTTTAACCAGACAAGTGGAGGCAGGAGAAAACGCAAGCTTGGTGCTGATCATGCTGATGTTGATTCAGAGGATAACGATGATAGCAGGGAGCAGACTGCAAAAGATACCAGAAGTAAAACTGTTGAGTCGCATCATGAGGAATTCCCAAAGGGCAAGCGGAAAGCACGAAAGCGCAGGCGGTTAGCTCTGCAAGGGAGAGGTATCAAGGATGTTAGGCGGCGGAGGAGGACAGATGAACTCAGTGATGATGAAGTTGGTTCACTTTCCGAGTCGAGTGAGGAAACCATGTGCAGTGAAGATGAGATGCAAGGATGTCGGATGTCTGCATCTGGTAATGAGGTGCCTACTGGCTCGGACGGGACAGGCAACACTTAAACTCATGTTTCTGTCTTGTGCTATTGTGCCATGCGTTTAAGGGAATGCTTCCATCTGATGATGTTGAGAAACGAGAGGGACGACCCTTGCTGTTAGGCCAAGTGCTGTGAAATTATTTTTTTTTTGCCCTCTGTGTAAATATGTAAATCCTTTTTAAGTGGTTGGCTCTTTAGTTGCATTCAGTGTGTTCTTAAAGAGTATCAAGCGTATTCAACAACTTTTAAGTACCTTTTGGGTGAGTGCTGTAGTGTGGTCTCTTGATGTCCCTTGCCGGCAGATGGGGGCATGGCTATGATTGTTAGGTTGATAAGAGTAGTTTGTAAGGTTTATAAATTCCATTGTCTAACATTTGCCAAGCGGGCGATCGATCTTTATGAATCTTGACGCGTAGGCAGAAGGTTTGGAATCTTTACAGCATTCCAGCAGGGCAAGGGGAGCTAGTGTTGAATGGCTGGGGATGTTTTCTTGGAAGCCTTGGCATCAAAAAATGGAATCGTTTGAAGTTGGGAGGACAACTATTTTTGCCGGATACGCCGAGTTGAAGGATCTTTCTTAGCAAAACTATTATTATGTTGATATGATGCTACAAGCTGCAAAAGAAGTAGAGTTTATTATGTCGTGTCAGGGTGTGATTGCCTGAAAAGTTAAAATGGCCGTACTCTTATTATCATGTGGCTAACCTGATATAAGGTTAAAAGAGGGCATGAAGCCGTCGGCACGGGTGGTAGGCAGCAGAGGGCGGTGGCTGTAACTCAAAAAGTTTGGCTCGCCTCACAAGGTTGAAGTTTTAACCGCAAGCATTTGGTCTTCTGGGACTAATTTCCTATATGCATCCTCGTAAGTGACGCTATAATGAAAACACTAGTAGAGTACGTGTATGTAAATAGATAGACGCTAGAGTGTATCTAGATCTTTCTTTCCTCTTGCGGAAAACTTTTTCTGATGATACGTACGGTTGTTGCATTTGGTCTCTCCCCTTTCTAGTAGTCTCGTCTGTAGTAGCAGTCATCATGCTTGATCAAGTCGTAGTAACAATTTTGATCAATAATAAAGTTTGACACACACAATTGGGTTGGGACTGTGGCTGTGTTCATTAAAGTTGACGAATCACAAATAATTGCTAATTATGAGTTGTTCTGCGTTTAGCACTCCCAACGATTTACTCATTACAGTCTGATTTTTTGGTTTGGTGGAATACTTTTTGGGGAAAATCACCAATTTAGTCCTCAAACTATTTTACTAAAGCTGATTTGATCCCTTAACATTTTATCGCATGAATTAAGTCCCTTAACTAAAATTCTTGTGCCAATTGAGGACCTATACGGTGTTGCCACCCAAAACACGTGTTTCTGTATAGAAACCAACGGCGAGGTAGGGGCTTTTTTGAAAGTACACAATAGAATTTCTACGACAAGCAAGCCAGCACCCATTTTGCATCCAAATTGGGGGGAAACCTTTGAGTAACGAGAAAATAGAGGAAGAAATTCATATACCAATATACTGTACTTAATAGTGGAGGATTTGTATATTCAGATTATTCTGATCTTATGAGATAATTTTTCATGCAGGATACCTATATGAGCTTTCCAGGTTCCATGCCCAAAAACTGAGAGAGCTCTAGAGGCTCTTCCAATTCTATCGGGAATGATCTTTGCAATATGAGTATCGAGCGAACAGATAAAAAACATTCAAGTGCTAAATGCTACAGCTTTATCAATCTTACAACAGAGTGGTTAATTCTCTTAAGATACAGAGGAATTATGCATCCTTAAACAAATCTACTGACCGAAGACTTGAATCTACTATAGCCGAGAAAACTTCCATAACCGAAGCACCTCAGAGCTCGACCTCGTCCATGTCTTCGAAGTTTTAACTAGGTTAAATAGTAGTAGAAATTCAATACCTGTTCTTGGGAACAAGGTATACCCCGGCTTTAATTAGCGACCCACTTCCAAGCTTAAACCCAAGACTCACCGGAAAGCCCACCACCTGAGGCACGCCACCACCCGTTCGTCCACCACCAGGAACCCTCACCACACTGTCCATATACTGCGGATGGAAATCAGCTCCCTTAGTCGCCTCAAAATGACTAGACGGTGGGTCCATCGAAAATGCCAGCAAATGTAGCAGCCAAACTGCCTTAGCAAGGCCCAAAAACTCCCCATAAAATTGACCCCTGAGGTGGTTTCCGGCCAAAACTAGGCGGTGCTGCTCCAAGTCCCCGAATAACGACTCCTCCATTTTGGGATGAACAATTGCCAAATACTTCTTGAAACAGAAGTTCCCGAAGCTGCAAGTTGGAAGTATCCCTAACAGTTCAATTGGGTCCATGGCTTTCATGTCGCGGTACTGAGTGAAGCAATCGCGACGGTGCTGATCGGGATGGATCAATGAGGAGAGGTTGCCGTCCATGTAAAAGGTCTCGCGGTCGAACCCCTGAAACATTTTCCGGTTAACATAGGATTCTAAAGCGTACTTAGCGTGGTTGGCTCCTACTATGGAGTCCGGAAAGGTAGTGGGGGTAGGTGTAGTCGGGGAGGCATTGCTGGAGAAAGAAGCAGCTTCGATGGATCTCACAGCGGCTGCGATGTCCCAATGAGCTGAACGCATCCGGGAAAAAACCCCTAATTTCTTCCTCTATTTTCTCGCTACTCAAAGGTTTCCCCAATTTGGATGCAAAATGAGTTCTGTCTTGCTTCCCGTAGAAAATTTACTATGTACTTCCAAAAAAGTCCCTGCCTCGTCGTTGGTTTCTGTACAGAAACATATGTTTTGGGTGGCGACACCGTATAGGTCCTCAATTGGCAAAAGAATTTTAGTTGAGGAACTTAATTCATGCGATAAAATATTGAGGGACCAAATCGGCTTTAGTAAAATAGTTTGAGAACTAAATTGGCGATTTTCCCTACTTTTTGTAGGTGGAAGGAAGGAAGGAAGGAAGGAAGGAGTAAGAATAGGGGAAAGGGTGGGTGGCTCCAACTTTTTGAGGGCATGGATAGATACGTAGCTTTGAGGTTGGATTAAAAGGCTACTACTTAATATTATTATTATTAGGTGACTGACACTTCAAAACCAAACAGAAAACACCAATCAACACCCAACACAAAACTCCTCCTCAAAATCATTTCTCTCGAATTTAGTAGATCAATATTTTAAAAAAAAAAAAAAAAACTTCTTTTTTCTTTCTCGGAAAGAAGTTTCCAAATTTGTTATATTACCGCCTGCAACCTGGGAAGATTTCTCTTTTGAATTGAAAAAAAAAAAAAAGAAGAAGAAGAAATCCCACACTGGCAAGATTTCTAGTACAATTTCTCCTCTGTACAGACAAAATAATTATTACTATTACCATAATAAAACCATACGCCATAAATAACCGTCCGTATCCCTAACATTTTGCCCCCCCTCTACTGCGACTAAACTTGTATTCTAATCTAATCTTCTATTCCTTGATCTACGCTTTTTTCAATTTTCTCCCACACTTTTCCTTTTTCTTTTTTTTTTTTCTTACAAAGAATTTGCGTTGCTGGAGAACGATTCCGATTTTCTGCTTTTGTATTGGGGATTAATTTGAATTTTGTCGGGTGGGTAATTGGTAAAAGGCGGGGGGAAGGGGTTCTTCTGAATTGGATCATGACGATTCCGGATTCTGGGTATATGATGGAGAACGGATCCATTGAATTGCCGTGCACCCCTGAAGAGGAAAAGAGGATTGTTCTCGAATTATCCCGACGAGCTGAATCCAATCTCCGTGAAGGCAATGTTTATTACGTTGTCTCCGCTAGGTATTTATTTCTTCTTCTTCTTCTTCTTTTTTTTTTTTAAAAAAAAAAACATCCTTTGTTCAACTCCATTCATCTCCTGTTTGTCGTGTTTGCTTCTAAAGTTTCGGTTTTTACCGCAAAGTCTGTCTGAATGCCTTGCCTTGGTCTGGCTGGTTTATGATCCATCCTAGGAGACCTGACATCTGTCTATTTTTCTGGTCGGTTGCTTGTTTTGTAATTTTGCCAACCATTTGTCAAAAAAAAAAAAAAATAGCTTGGATTTTAGACCTTCATCCCGAAGTAAATTGCAAATTGTGGAATTCTACCAAGTACTTTAGACCTTAATCAAATGAAAAAGAAAAGAAAAACAGCTGTTCCTTGTATTTAGATGTTTTCATATGATATAACCGGAAAATAATGGCAGAGGCTTTGAATTTGGGATTGTTTCTGCTGGGTTTCTATGGGGTTAGACTTTAAAAACTCTTAGTAAAGAGGATGTAGGAAGAACTTTGTAAGTTATGAATGTTAACTCTGGCCTCTTTTGTACAGGTGGTACAAGGGCTGGCAAAAGTACACCGGGCAACCTGTTGGAGTTTTTACTTTTGATGAACCTCCTACTGAAGCTCCAACATCCAGTGCCGCAGACAGGCCTGGACCAATAGATAATAGTGATTTAGTGTTCAATGGCAGTGACGGTGCTGACCCTCAGCTTCTTCGAACAGTGGAAGAAGGACGTCACTATGTATTAGTTCCAAAAGATGTGTGGGAAAGGCTTTATGCATGGTAATTGTCCTGTCTTATTCTTTGATACTCTATCTTGAATAATTATGCATACGTCTTTGTTTTGCACAATGTTCAAGAATATATAGGCAATGTATTTAAATGGACTGGTGTTAAGCATGTGTTCCTCCTGGTAAATTTGTATTAGGGGTAGCTTGACCTCTAGAGTTATATGATGCTTGAGTGTTAAGTGGTGTTAGACATATGAGCGAGGATGTGGAATGATTTTTGGTGCTTTATGTGATTATCTGATTTTTTTTTTCAAAATGCATTAACTCCAAGGACTTTGTTTTTGCCAACTTTCTTAGTTTATCACATTCCTCTTCTCTTAAGGTACAAAGGGGGACCAGTACTAGCCAGGAAGATGATTTCCGCTGGAGATAGTAAGCAGTTCCATGTGGAGGTTTTTCCTCTCTGTCTTACCTTGGTTGATGCTAGAGACAATAGTCAATCTGTTGTAAGGTTAAGTAAAAAGGTATTTCCTTGTGTTTCCTTATATATTTGTTCCTTCAACTTGTCTTTCTTATGGTATGATATTGCATTTGTTTGCTTGTGGTCTGTTTCAGGGAGGTTTTTGCTCTCTCTCCCCCCCTCTCTCTCTATGTGTGTGTGTGTGTGTGTCATGGGAGGGTGTCCGTCCTTAGTAGAACAGCTTCAGTGGCTATCTTTGGTTAAAGTTTTGCTTTTGTCTGCTATTAACTGGCTCGTTCTTCCTCTTTTGATTTGTATCAGGCTTCTTTGCATGAACTTTATAAGACAGTATGCCGCCTTAAAGGGGTAGAGTCAGAAAAGGTTTGTTGGATGATAGTGCATGCCTTTGCTACTGTTATTTCCCTTTACCAACTTGTAAATCGGAAAAGAGTAAATAATATGTCCTTCATGGCTTTCACCTAATTTTGATAGGCACGAATCTGGGACTACTTTAATAAACAGAAGCAGACAGTTTTGGTCGTTTCAAACCAAACCTTGGAGGAATCTAGCTTGCAGATGGATCAACATGTGAGTTTTTTCATGCAATGTCTCAACTTGGACTTGATGCTGTTTAAGAGTAGAATATCATATCTTCATCAATTTTCTTATAGTGTGATACATAGTACATTCAGCAGTTTCGGATGCCCTTTAAGTGATTGTTTGGTTCCACTGGGTTCCTGGCTTTTCAGATTCTGCTTGAGGTGCAGATTGATGGATTTTGGCCTTCAGGATTTGGCATGGATTCAACAGGAAATGACTTGGCTCTGGTTCCAGTTGAACCATTAAGGTCATCTGTTACAATTGCAGGAGGTCCAACTTTATCTAATGGTTATTCCAGTAGTTATAGCTCCAATATATACGGAGTGATTAATTTGAGCTCCACAAATGGGGATATGGAGGATGGATATGAGAGTTCAAGACCTATGACCAGAGTGGATAGAGGTGGATTGGCAGGATTGCAAAATTTAGGGAATACATGCTTTATGAACAGTGCTATTCAATGTTTGGTTCATACACCACCCATTTTTGAGTACTTCTTGGAAGACTACAGCAGCGAGATCAACAGACAAAATCCTTTAGGAATGCATGTACGTACTTCTTCTTTGTCTACTTTGCAATTTGCAAAGTAGAAGCAGTCGGATTAAGTTTCTAATATTTGTTGTAGTTCTGCAGGGTGAGCTTGCACTTGCTTTTGGTGAACTCTTGAGGAAACTATGGTCTTCTGGGCGGACACCAGTTGCACCCCGAGCTTTCAAGACAAAACTTGCTCGTTTTGCTCCGCAGTTTAGTGGTTATAACCAGCATGATTCACAGGTAGATAACTTGTGTAAGATTTTTGCTGCTATGTTTCTGATTTTGAATTTTTTATTCTTGTTAGGTTATTGTTCATTCATCTGTTATGGGTACAATATCTTTCAAATTCTTTAATATCTTGTGACTACTGTGCCTTGAAGATTGTCACAGAAATGGGGTTTTTTCAAATTTTTTATGCTTTAATGAGTTCATATGTTATACCCCCCTATGCTTTATAATTAATAAGGTCAGGTTATTCAAAAAATGATGGTTAGCAGTTAAATTGTTGTGTCAGTTTTAGTTGTTATGGTGGTTTGTATGTGTGTAATTTTTTGTTGTTCCCTTTTCCAGTGGCAATTTAGTTGGTTGTTTTTGTTCTATGGTCATGTATTTAAAAGCAATAGATGTGGAAGAATGTTGATGCATCTTTTTGTCTAGGAACTCCTTGCCTTTCTCCTTGATGGGCTGCATGAAGATTTGAATCGTGTAAAGCAAAAGCCATACATTGAGACGAAGGATTCTGATGGTCGTCCAGATGAGGAGGTAGCCGATGAATATTGGAGATATCACAAGGCTAGAAATGACTCCATCATAGTTGATGTTTGCCAGGTGGCTTCTCATATTCATTACGTTGACTTGTCTCCATAGTGATTAGTATTTAAGTGAATCTTCTTGTCAAATGGTTTGTTTAAGTTAGAGAAATCCATGAGTCCAGAAATTAATTGAGCATATGTCTGCTCAATACATCAAGCTACACTTTCCCCTGGTATTGATGATTACTTGTTTAAGATTATGGTTTTCTGACGGCAGCAAACAGTGAACGGAAGCATAGTTGTGTATTCTCGTATACAGTGGTAAACAGGAGCTTAGCTATCTGAGCACTATCTTTTCTTCAATTTGAAGAATGTTTTGACTAATCTTAAGTGTTCTCAATATTTTCTAATGTGCCATGTGTTTGATAATGCTTTTATTTGGTGTTCAACTGCCAGGGTCAATATAAGTCAACATTGGTTTGCCCGGTTTGCAACAAGATATCAATAACATTTGACCCCTTCATGTACTTGTCATTGCCTCTTCCTTCAACAGCTACAAGAACAATGACAGTTACAGTTTTTTATGGCGATGGGATTGGCCTTCCAATACCCTATACAGTCACTGTGCTAAAACATGGCTGCTGTAAAGATCTGATTCAAGCTTTAGGTGCGGCTTGCTGCTTAAGGACTGATGAATATCTGTTGCTTGCAGAGGTGACAAATTTTTGTTTGATTTTGTGCTAATTTTATGCCATATATCGTATCTGTTAGTTGAACCAGAAAACTTTCGAACTCCAGGTCTATGAGCATCGAATATATAGATACTTGGAAAATCCTTCTGAAGTGCTGGGTACAATTAAGGACGATGAACATATTGTTGCATTCAGACTCCCCAAGAATGGTGCTGAATTAACAAGACTGGAGATAGCTCACCGAATCGGAGAGAAGTAAGTCCTTGTTTTGCAATACAAAGTGCGTGTAGTTCAAGTTATTTAGATCACATTTGGAGTTGCAGTTGTTTTTTGGAAAAAGTACTTTTGGAGAACAAAAGCATTTTAAAGGTGTTTGTTTGGTTATCCTCTCCTTGAATCTAGGAAGAGCTTTTGGTAGCAAAGCGCTTTTAATACAAGCTAGAAATTGGTGCTTTTGCAGGCTTTTCAAGTTTAAAAAATATATATATTAAGATGAAGTTTGACTAGTATGATATGATATGTGTTTAGAAAGATTAAAACCCAAATGGTTATGAACACCAAAAGTACTTCGGCAAGTATCCGACCAGACAATCTAAGCAAGCACCCTTTTTTTTCTCAGATAAGCCATGAAATTCCAAATGGGACCCTATTCTGTTTTTGTTTTCTTTTTTTCCCTCAGTCACTTTAATGATATCTTTTGGCTGGAGCATTGCATAACATAAATCGATTGCAGAAAAGAAATAAAAATAGAGCTTGTCGAGAGTGATTAGGAAATATGTGTGCATGTGAATCTTATCTGCTTGTAGAGTGATTAGTTAACATGTCTAGATATGAAAATAGCATCTACAGTTTGCAGTAATACATTTGTTTATGTGATTTCATTCTTCTGATTTTTTCCATGCCTTATATCACGACAATGGACATCCCTTCAATGAGTCTGTTTTGTTTATTAATTTTTTTTCCTTCATTGATATTTTTGTTGATTAGTTTGCATTTTTCCAGCGATAATCTGAGGGCTAGTGAGAGGAAGCTTTTCTTGACACCACTTATTACTTTCTTGGAAGACCCTCAGTCTGGAGCAGATATTGATCTCGCTGTACACCGAATACTGTCTCCTCTACGAAAGAAAGGATATTCATCATCTATTTCAATTCGTAATGGCAGGGAATCAACCAATGGCTGCAGTAGCCAGTTAGGACCCGGGACACAGTCTGCAGAGAACTGTGAATCAGAAGAAATGTCTATCAATTCTTTGTCATTTCATCTTTGTATAATGGAGGACAGTGGTTTAAGTCGCAGACGTATTTCAAAGGAGACTGTAATCAAATTTGGTCGAGTTGTAAAAGTTATGCTCGATTGGACAGAGAGAGAATTTGATTTGTATGATGCCAGCTACCTCAAAGACCTGCCTGAGGTTCACAAGACTGGACTTACTGTGAAAAAGACAAAACAGGAAGCTATTTCTTTGTTTTCGTGCCTTGATGCCTTCTTAAAAGAGGAACCTTTGGGGCCTGACGATATGTGGTACGGTAGACTGCTCAGTTATACAACAGAATCCTGTCATCAGTGCAGTCTGGTGAAAAAGTTTCTTATATTTTTTATGCTGCAGGTATTGTCCACGCTGCAAGGAGCATAGACAAGCCAGTAAGAAGTTGGATTTGTGGAGGTTGCCCGATATATTGGTTTTTCATTTAAAAAGGTTTTCATACAGCAGGTGGCTGAAGAACAAACTTGACACCTTTGTGAATTTTCCCACCTGCAATCTTGATTTGAGCAATTATGTAAAAAGCAATGAAGCATCTGAAGGATCTCATGTCTACGAGCTATATGCCATTAGTAACCATTACGGTGGCCTAGGCGGGGGGCATTATTCTGCATACTGCAAGGTACTTTCCCTTTGCATTACATGGCAATACAAACAAGGAAAATCCAAATGTTTCTCCCGTATTAATCTGTTTCATTGTTTTAATTGCTTCTAGCAACCTCATGCCACATAATAGTTGCGCATTGTGGTACTGGAAAGCAATTCTTATGTTGCAGTAGCTGATATTCTTGGATGGAGTTGAAATTTTTGAAACTGTGTGTGTGTGTGTGTCTCTATATATACGTGTGTGTGTGTGTGCGGATTAATTTTATATACACTGCCAATGTATACACTATCACCATTAGATATATGACACGTGCAAAATTATATATATATATATATATATATTGTTGGTCTTATTAAAAGTTTTGGGGATGTGTTTATATGTGCAGTTAATAGATGACAACAGATGGTATCATTTTGATGATGCTCATGTTTCACCAGTCAGTGAAGATGAGATCAAGACGTCAGCTGCTTATGTGTTGTTCTACCGAAGAGTAAGAGGTAAACCAAATGGAGCAGTGGGTGAGCCATCGCATGGTTATAGAGCTTTTTGAAGGCAGTTGTGGTGCTAAAATTCTTTTGGGTAATAGAGTAGTATTCTTTATGCATTATATGAATGTGGTTCTATACTTGTGGTAAACCATGCTTTGCTTATGCGGAGTTGGGGGGAACAGATGCTTTTGCATGTTGGATAGAAGGAAAACATTATGCAGCCAGATGGAATAGTGAAGTCTAAGTTGTAAGCTGTTGTACTTATAATAGTGGGGAAATTTAGGACGGAGAACTGATAAGTAAAAGTTGGCAGAGACCAGCACATTTGCTTTAGGTGAAGGACGTGTATTATTTTTGAGGAAAATTTTGGACGGTTGATCAGGTTATCAAGTGAGGCCTTTTTCGATCGGCGGTAACTGGGTAGCTGGTTTTTTCTTTTCTGTTTCTTTTCTTTTTTTTTTTTGTAGATTTTATAAATGTAAACCCCCACTCTGGGACATTGTCATCCATTCTTCATGTTCTAACATTTCAGCGTAGTGAGATCCATGTTCTAACAATTTCAATGTAATAACTAATGAATGTGAGTGTTCAAGCTTTAACGCTGCAATATGATGGCATGAATTCCAAATGAGCTTTTTTTGTTGGCTACAGAACATTTGCGAGGTTTCGGTTTTTAGGTATCTTTCCAGTTTCAGTTGCCAAGGATATAATGATTCTTTTGGTAGCGCGTTCCTGTAAAAGATCGATCACGCAGGACGCCCGAATATCATGAAAACGTAGTACTAAGATGAAATCCCACTTTTCCGCTAAATGGTCATTCTGTTCTGCGTTATGTTAGCAGCTTTTCCCTTCTGTAAATACGCTAATTGCGCATTGCTACATGCGCTTTGTCGATTTGGATGGATAGCAAATTGTAATTGTTGCTCCTTGTAGTGAATAGTGGCCAAATACAAATAGATGCCTACGTAACCAAAAAAAAAAAAAAAAAGCAGCAAAGTGCTACGCATAACTCGGATCCTCCCCTCCCTCGTAGTAGTAGTTCTTCTGACCGTCTGACAATAGAAATAACCAATAATAACTGATGGGGTAATGGGTAAAATACCAACAATAAGTGCAAATAAATAAATGAAAGAATACAGGAAGGAAGAGTAGACGATGGTGGGCAACAACCGTGTTCAGGATTATGCGCCACTCTGACTCAGCTACCGTCGTCCACAGCAAACTTTGATGGTCCACAGACAACATAAGAGGAGGCTACTACTGTGCTTAGTTCTGCTGATGCCACTCCACTACACTACCAGTAGCACTACTCTTCTGATACATAAAAGTCAGCCAAAGCCCTCAAAGACTCGATCAAAGGAGAATCTCAATTCTTTTCCCCAACCCTCAAAGCCTATATAATGAAGACGCTACCCCCCCCCCCCTCTCTCCAGTGGGGGCAATAATACTCAATTGTGATTCGTCTAATGTTCTCTTGGAAGTTGGAAGGCCAGCAACAATACGAGCCAACAAATCATCAGTAACAAGTGCGGCACTGCACTGGGCAAAGCATGTAATCCCTGAAAGTAGCACAAAGACAAACTTCAATTAGGTTCAGAATTCATTCCCTACTGATTGATGAATGTCGTATCCATCGATGCTGATTAAAGCAACTCGGTTACTCTGATACTACTAGCTAGTACCATGGCCGCTATTGGCATCATCATCATCAAAGATGAAACAAAACCCTCCTTGGAATCTAAATTAGTAGTGTATATATATATATATATAATAGATATATGTATTTCAAACAACAATTTGAGCAATGCAAGAAGCAACACATGTACCAAAAGTGCAATTTGAGTAATGAAGAGTTGCGCAAAAACATTTTGAAGCAGGGAATTGTATCTAATGAGCCATGACTATGAAAACCCATGTACAGTTCATTCAAGCAATAGATATGACAAAGGTTAGATGTGTATGAAGATTGCACTTGGAATAATTATAAATGTGGCAAGATTTTTTTTTTATTTTTTGTAGTATGGTAGTACTAAGAAATAAAACAAAAAAATCCTGGATGTTGTTCGAGTTGGGGCAGGCACTTTTCCGCTCGAATAATAATTTACTAAAACTAGGGTTTGTTTGGACAGAGTATTATTTAAAATATTATTTAAAATAATTATTATAACACTTTTTTGTGATGTGATATAGGTAAGATAAAAAGATATTTGAGAAGATAAAAAGTTGCATTGAAAATTGTAACGGTATATCTAGCCAAATAATCTACTGTCCAAGCAAACCCACTGATAATGGGGAATAAATCAAAAATTACTACGTATTAGTACCACAACACTAGTGAGCAAGTAGCACCCTCCTCCACTGAGGAGGTTAAGGACTTGAGGAGGAGCAACTGCAAAACTCACCGCATCGGAGGTGATGGATAAATAGCCAGTGGAAGAAGTGGGACCACCGGAGGAGGAGGAGGAGCCAGGAGGAACACTACTAGTACTGGTGCTGCTACTACCAGTACTGCTAGGAGTAGTGGAGGTATTGGAGGAAGTGGAAAGGAGGCCGGTCCCGTTGAAGCCAATGTAGTAGGCCGGGGAGCCATCCGGCTTGAAGAGGCCGTAGTTCCTCTCGGAGGTTGGGCCGGACTTCATGTTCTCGTTGAAAAGGGCGAAGACGTAGATGTTCAAGTCGGCGTTGGGCCTCATGGGCGTCCCCTTCTTCCCGCACACCAGCTTGTTGATGAGGTTGCCGTTGTACTTCTTGGCATTCTCCGGGGTGGCTCCGGCCTCGTCGGCGTCTCCCTTGGAGGGCCAGCCGGTCTCGGAGATCTGGACGCACACCGCATCGTCCTTGAACCCCAGGGACTCGACGGCGGAATGGACGGCGTCGATCTGGGCGAAAAGCATGTTGTCGTAGTGGAGATTGGTGGCGGGATCGAGGATCCCGGGGTTGGGCTGGAAAAGGACGAACTCGAGAGGGACCTGCTTGGGGTTGGCCTTGTAGGCGAAGTAGGGGTAGGCATTGATGAGGAAAGGGGAGCCGGTCTTGAGGTGGAAGTTGAGGATGGCGGTCAAGCAGGGGGCGAGGTCCGGGCGGAACCTGCCGGCGGAGGGGGGGTAGGAGGTCTGGAGGACGGCGAGGGAGTGGGCGGTGGTGACGGAGACCTTGTCCTGGAGGTTGAGGGAGCAGAGGGCGGAGTAGACGCTCTGCATAGCGGGGAGGAGGTTGGAGGAGAGGGAGGTGTCGTTGAAGGTGAGGACCTCGTTGCCGACGGCGATGCAGGTGATTCTAGTGGCGGGGAGGAAGGGTTGGACGTTGGCCTTGACCCAGGCGAGAGCTTGCTTGGGGTCCCTGGTCTTGGAAAGGTACTGGTTGCCGAGGCTGACGATGAACTCGACACCGGTGTTGGCGAAGGCCTTGAGGACGGTGGGGTCGGCGTCGTAGAGCTTGAGGCGGGTGGCGCCGATGGATTTGACGAGAGGGACGACATATTCTGGGGAAGGGAGGTTGTTGGCGATCTGGCCGTAGTTAATGGCAATGGGAGCCGCGCAAGTGATGAATTCTGTTTGTTACACGTATGATAATGTTTTCTTTGAAATGGGCAGTGTGGAAGAAAAAAAAGGACCCCAAGCGTATTATTAGATAGGAGGAGGAGGAGGAGTTTGTCGATTCAATTGAGAGCGTACCTGGTGAGACGACGACGACGACAAAGAGAATCAAGAGTAGTGAAGAAATGCGGTGGTTGTGGAGGCGAAGAAGGGTGAAGAAGCAGCAGCAGCAGCCTTCTTCTTTTGTTTCCATCTTTTGTTTCATGAAGTGCCTGTCTATCATCATCGTAGATCTTCTTGACTGATCTACTATTCTTGATCTACTCTACGGAGGGAGTGTAGTAAAGAAAACGAAAAGCTTTTCCTTTATGGGTTTAGATTCCAATCCTCCACACTAAAATGGAGGACAACACAACACGCTAAGGCTATGGACAGTGGAAAAGAGAGAGAGAGAGTGAGTGGAGAGGGATGGCCAGTGACCAGAGTGGTTAGTAGAGTAGTATTTAGCAAATCAGAGCAGAGATGCCCCTCCTTCTCTCGAGAGCGAGAGTGAGAGTGAGAGTGAGAGAGCTACTTTTTATTATTGGGAGGACTTTAACAGAGCGCGTCTGGTCTGGTTTAGTAGGCTGGGATGTCTGTTCCGTTCTCGCTTCTCACCAATCCACTGCTTTGTCAAATACAGTAAAAAAGTTTTACTACAAGACTACAAGTAAAGGAGTAATACCAACCAACTGCTATTCTATTCTTTCAACGCCAATCCATCCCTGATACAGTAATAGATAGATGGATAGCATTAATTTTTCATCGGAATACACACCAGAGTACTGTACAGTATTATATAGTAATTGGCATTACATCTCATGTTATATGAAGGTCGCTGGGGCTGTTGTTAATGTAAAAGCGGGTTCTCTCTCTGGTCCATTGGCCTTTTTGTACCCCAACGGGCGGTGGACGCTGAGTGGATGCATGAACAGCAAAATCATCAGCAGGAGACAAGAATGAATCAGCCTAAGCGCTTTAGCCGAAAAGTCTTGTAGTGTTTTGTCTCGTTTTCTAACTACTGGCTGCTTTACCATTTTTTTTTATTTTTTTTATTTTTATATTTGGGATAATTCCTTCGCTTCTTCCCCTTTTCTGAACGGGTATCGGTTTCGTGGAAGATGAGCAAACTCAGATGATATTTTAAGGTCCCAGAGGGGCTGTGATCCTTTCTTCAAGTGTCGAAACTCAAAAACATAAAAAAGGGAAGAAGAAGATTCCCAGGTCAGGCTCCTCTGGACTGGAGCTAATAACACCTTTATTTTTTGGATCGACAGAAGTCACATGGAGTCGTCATAGACATAGACATGGACGACTAATCTTTCCCAATAGCCCACCCCCACGACGCTACCTACGCTAATCATTCATGGTAGCACCATTCATTTTAGACGATTTACTCCGCTCAGCTCGTATGACTGAGTTCCGGTTCCGGCGGGGAAACAAGACAGACGAGTTCGGTACAGCACCCACAACCCCAAACAAACCTCTCAGCGTCTTAATAAGAGCTTCCAGAACACAGTCCCGCCCCGGCGCCCATTAATAACATAGAAATGCGCCTCCCGAGTCAAGCAAGGAGCTTTACGATGGTAAGAATTTTCTATTGATTTATTTATTTTACATGGTGCTCGAGAACAAGCTCTCCGGTCGTCGATTGAGCCACACTACAGTTTGTTACGTCTTATTTATCTATTATACTACATTCATCCCCTTTTTCTTCTCCTCCACATCCACCTCTTTCCAGCAACAGCTCAACAAAAGCATAATCTGCAGGCATAATCTCTCTCTTTATCCTAACCACCAGAAAACTGGATGAAACACAAAAATACCCCCCAACAACAATATGCTGGCGATTTTTACAAGAGTATTAGATAAAGCTTCACCTGACCCGTTACTTCGCTTTTACTAAAAAGGTTAAAAGGTGAGAGGCAATAGGCTAACTATAGCTAAGATGGATGATTTGAATGACGCTCAAGGAGTGGCAACGTTTTCCTTGGCGAGTGGGGCAATTTCGTCTCCATCAACACCAGCTTCACTCCCAGCAACACCTAAGCTCAGCAACACTGTTTCCCACTTCTTGGCAGGCCCCTGCAAGCAATAAACATTAGTATTAACTTTTCAGCTCTTTCCTTATTTATCTCCTGGAGACGCTATTTATCCAATCTTTACTACCTTCCAGGAGAGCTCCTGTGACATGCAATTTCTAATCATCTCTTTTAGGGCAAGAGTTCCATAGCTAGCGAGAGCTCTGGCTACAGTCACTACGATCTTGAGGATGTCAGCTGGATCAACCGCATCGCACTGTTCACAACCCAAGACCACTTCTCATTATCTCACTATGCAACTAACACATGGATGCATTCTGAGGGAATTTAAGCGACCAAGGAATGAATGTAGGCAGCCCAGTAAAAAGTGAATACTGTTACTTACTTCAACGCTGAAGGCTCCCATATGGAACCCTGTGTAGCCTTCTTTGACTGTGTCAACAAGTCCACCAGTCGAAGCACATATAGGCACCTGACTCGAAAGCAAGGAATCTCATCAGAAATGGATGCTAGAACTTTGACAAAGATCCAAAGAGGCGAGCGCACACATCCATGAAGTGTTATAATGCAGCTTACACAGTTCAACAGAAAAAATTAAAAATAAAAATTAGTGAGAGATTCATACTGTTCCATAGCGCATGGCGTGCAGTTGAATTAGACCACAAGGTTCAAATCTACTTGGAAGCAGCATAAAGTCAGCTCCAGCAATAATCATGTGGGCTAATGGGACATTGAATTTTGCCACTCCTCTTGCTTTGTCAGGGTACATCACCTCAAGCTGTTCAATCTGCTCCTCAAATTTCCTTTTGCCAGTCCCCTGATGAAAAAGAACAGTAGACTTTATAATGCAATCCCCGTACTGTAACAGCAGACAGTAGCTCAAAATCCAGTACCACTTACAAGGATTACTATCTGAACATTCATGTGAATGAGCTTGGGAATGGCGGCAGCAAGGATGTCTGATCCTTTCTGCTCTTCGAGCCTGCCAATGAAGCCAATCAGCGGAATATTCCTGTCAACTGGTAATCCAACAGCAGCTTGGAGAGCTTCTTTTAGTAGGGCCTTTGCATACATAACCTAAAACAAAGATGAAAGTCAGTTAAACAAAGATGAAAGTCAGTTAAAAAAAAAAAAAAAAAAAACTCTAATTGCCGCAGGAGGATCAGGAAAGAACGCTAAAAGCTTCACGAGTGCTATAGAAATGAACGCAGGAACAGAAATCTTACCGTTGTGATGTCATAATTGGCAGAAATATATTTATCAGTCGCCGGATTCCACTCGTTGGTATCCATTCCATTCACAATTCCTGTTACGCATTTCATGCGGAGAATATTGTCCAATTCCACACCCTTATCAATGCCAGAAACAAGCTCCAGGGCATAGTACGGGCTCACAGTTAAGACCCTGTTTGACTCCAAAATTCCAGCCTTCATCCAGTTAATTTTCCTTCCTTTCACTGGTTTGTCATATCTGCAACATGGACATAATAGCTTTACCCAAGAAGACATAGTATAGTGCTGTACAGAGAACTCTAATCAAAGTTCAGAAGAATCTTCTAAGTTTCATTTCATCTAAAATTTTAGCATTCATACCCATCAATGAAGTCAAAGGAACTCTTATATTGATCAGGGAGATTGAGAAGAGAGAAGTCTGCAAAAGGAAATCTTCCCTGGTAGGCAATGTTGTGAATGCAGAAAGCAACCTGGCACCAATGATCAGTCATAGATTCAGACTACAACATTGATTCCTTAATTTTGTAGCAGCGAGATTACCTTCAATGAGAACCTAGATGAATTCTTACTTTAGCATTCATGTAGATTCCTCTAGACTGGTACATAGTCTTCAGGTAGCATGGTAGAAGAGCACAATGCCAATCATTGGCAATGAAGATAACATCCTCTCCTGCAACAGGAAGCAATTATTTGCAATTATGAAGCTGTTTCCACAGTGCAGTGGAATTCCTCAATCCCAAATGCAAGAGTAAGTACCATATGTTCCAGAGAAGTATTTGCTGTTGTTTAAACTCAAAATTCGTGGTGCCTCCAAAGCTGCCTGGGAACAGTAAAATGGAAGTGACTCAGAACAGAGTCGGTGACCAAAAGACATGCTAAGTGCCTAAAAGCAGCTCGTGTACAGATGCTAAGTGTTGTAAATCAATCATGAAAAACAAAAGACAGCAACTGAGCGGTGTTTACTTGGCACAACAAGCTGAACCGCAGCTGGTTGTCCTGGTAATCATCTCCAGCCCTAGGACCATAGATCTTTGATCCAGTTTTGCCCCAAACCTTTAAAAGAGTTCAAAGTCTCAAGCATTAGACTCACACCTAGCATGTTCCCACGTCTCCTACATAACAGCTGTGATACAGTACCCCATTCTAGAACAACAAAGAGGGGTTTATACAGATATTGCTAACCTTCTCGAGAAAGATTGGATGATCCACAAAAACACGATCTACTCCACGCTTGTAGCAGTGGAAAAAACGAACAACCTCAATTCTATCTCCGACCTTGATCTGTGAAGTGGAATTTGGTCAGTTAAAACACCCATGCAAAACTCGAACACAATGATCGTTGCAATTTACCTGGACAAGCACACTTGTATCCCAACCATCTTTGTACTGATCATAACGAGGTGCAACAGTCATCACTCGGTGACCCAAGCCCTGCACAACAAGCACATATTGAGGCCAAAATAGAGAAGAAAATTTTTAGATACCCAAAAAAAAAAAGAAAGGAATGAAAATAAATAATAATAATAACAAACAAGTATGCAATTCATCCCTGTTCACAAGTAAAATTGAAAAGTCCCCCACCAAAGTGCTGGCTGGCATTGGGATAAAGTCAATATACCTTCTGACCTGTACTGTAATCTTCACACAATATGAAGCGGGTATATAAGTAGTTCTACTAGACTGCTATTTGAAATGAGTAGAGGAGTTAGGTTGGTTTGGGATAAACCACAGATTGGGAAATGGAAGAGGAGAGGTAAGAGAGGAAGAAGATGACATACAGCCAAAGCAGGTGGCAATCCTCCCAAAACATCCCCGAGGCCACCAGTTTTGCTCCAAGGAGCGACTTCAGCGGCCACAAAGATGAAACAGGCTCCTGTTCCGCAGACGATGGTTCCGGAAGGCCCGTGAGCGGATTTGTGGAGTTCGGTTGGTTTGGCAGTGGCTCTGGTATGGTGGAGGTTGAGTCTGCTCACTGCTCTCAAGCCATGATGGGTTACAGTTTGAGGTCGGAGACCCAGATGCGCCAAATAGGCGGAGGAGTCTGCAGGAGGCGGCGGAGGGTGGTGGTGCACATTTGAGGATCTTGAGACGAAGCGAGAAGTAGTCACGGTGGCCATAACTGATATGCCTGTTGAGCCTGGAACAGAGACAGACAGAGGGGGGAAGAAAAGAGGCATTATTATTATTATTATTTGGTTAATACCCCAAATTAAAATACCAAAAGAGTAAGCAATCAGAGGATGCATTCAGTCACACACACACATACAGGTGGTGGAAGAATTTATGTTGAGAACGAAGAGAGGGAAGGCAGCAGAAGCAGATTGATGTTAAAGCAGGGTTAGTGATGACGGTGGAGATATTGGAATTGGAATGGGAAGCAGTTACGTACGTTGCTTGGGTAGTAGATATTTATATTATTTCCGGATCATCCCTGCGGAAAATCAGGACCTTTTCCTTTTTGTTGATCACAAAATCTCTACATTTCATGATACTACTGCTACTCAATTACCAGTGGTAGTACTAGCAGTGATGAATAACAAACAAATAAAGAAACCAACAAACAAAGAAAGAAGATGGAGTAACAACAATCTTGTCTTCTGATAGTCATGGAAAGATAGACAACCCAAATTCATATTGATGTTTCATGTTTTTTTTTAAAAAAAAAAAGAGAGACAGAGAGAAAGAGAAAAGCAGGAAGCGGGAAGTTTACCTGAGTTAAGTAGGAGCAGCGAGGGAGGAAAGCAGGAAGTAAGTAGTAACAACTATGATATGAAATGAGAGAACCCGTAGGGCAGAGTTGCAGAGACTCACTACTACTCCTTTGGTGGGTTGATTGACAAAGCCTGAATTCTGCAAATTGTTTAGTGCTCCTCCTCCTGCTCCCATTTATTTGTAGCAACGGCAATGCCGCTTGCCACGTGGCCCCTCTTCATTTAAAAAAATAAAATAAAATTAGTACCCGTTTGAAATTGGTTTTATGCCTTTTGTTTGTTTGGGGACCTCAAAATCTGTTTCACGGCAATTGAAAGTTGAAACATCGGTCATCGCCATTCCAAAAAAAATTTCTTCAAAAAAATTTTTCTAAATAATGTTCTACCCAAACAGACCTGCATGGAGTGTCCCTGCAATTGCTATATGTACAAAGTACAAAAAAGTTTAATAAAAATATTTTTATTATACACACATTAAATCACATTATTATAGTGCATTTTTTTATAAAAACTTTAAAAAAAAATATCAAAACAAATAGTCTCTAAGTTTAATCATTCATGAAAAATTACACAGTAAAAATGAGTTTTGCCAAGTTGCCTGGGAGAATATATGCCCACAAAATTTGAGGTCTCCCTCGTTTTAAACATTTTGGCACCGTTTGGTAAATAAAATTTTTAAATGTTTGTTTAAAAATTTACTGTATTTTACTAGGAAAGATGTAGAAAAAATTTTAATGTTTATAAATTTTTAAATATTTTGAAATATATAATTTAAAATTTTAAAAAACTTTTTTGATTTTACTGTAATTAAAATTATTAAAAATTTGTTTACCCAAGAGGTCCATTGAGATGCGAGTCCGTCATCCTTTTCAGATATTTTGTCGTCGGACTTGACAATGACAATTGACAACGACACGAAGCACTAGCTGGTGATGGGAATGGGCGTACAGTACAACTCCAGAAATTCACGGCTGTGGTCTACACTGGGCCCGCCACCGTTCCGGTCCAACGCCAGACGGGTTAACCACACCTCCTCCTTTCTTCTTTTTTGTTTTGTCCGATTTCTTCTAATACTACTTTTTTTTTTTCTGACATTTTCTTACGAAAGTAAGAATTTTTGGCAAATAAACCTAACTCCCCACAGTAACTCCAAAATTGTTCTAACTCCCCACATTCTTCTAATACTACTTACGACCATAATTGTTCACGGTTCCCGTTTCATGCCAGTGACCCTACCCACTCTAGAACTGCCACCATGCATATCCTATGGCTCAGTTTTGAGTCCTTTGACACCTGCCCATATTATTTATTTATTTATAATAATAAAAATAAAAAAAAAAAAGACACCGTCAATTCAACTGCTCCCCCTCTCTGATCACACTGGCCACCACCAGAGCAGGAAGAAAGGGGGTTGGGAAGGAAGGGGGCAAGGGAGGAGGAATGAGGAGGAGAGAGCACGGAGGGGCTACGGTGGATAGTGATAAAAGTAATTAATAAATTTTAAAATTACTTTAAAATATATTACAAAACAAAAAGCACTCAATGTATAATGAAAAGTTTTTGAAATACACAAATAATGTTGTAGTAGTATAATTGTTTCAAAAACATCATTAAAATTTTAAAATACCTAATCCATACTACTCTGAAAGTTTTGGTAAACATGCTAAAGTACTACTCTGGATTTGTTTGGATAGAGTATTATTATTTAAAATATTATTTGAAATAATTACTGTGACGTTTTTTATGATGTGATATATATAAAATAAAAAAAATAATTAAACATACAAACGGATTAATTAAAAAATATGTTTATAATATAAATGAAATATTATTTAAAAAAATTTGATATCCAAATAAGCTAGTAATAATAATACTGTGGTATATTGGAGCAGTACAAATTAGCAGCTGCAGCCTGCAGTAGAGGTGATGGGGAGGGGAAGCACAACCGCGTCTGGTGTCATTAATTGTCAGCTCTTTTTGCTCCCGCCACCAACAAGTCAGGTTGGCACACTAAACCAAAACTCAAGTAGGTGCTGATCATGAACATTTGACCAATTTGAAGAAGAAGAATTAGAAGGTCATCATTCATCAAACCACGTGAATTTTCTTTATGCCACTAGCACGGTTCCTTTATCACCACAGCGGTGCCATGGCTTGGCTGGCATCCCCCATTCTCAAATCTCACCATACAACAGCTACGTGATGATGGTATGAGAAAGAAAGGCCAACAAAAAACATAAGAGAAACTTGCAGCGATCGATTGAGACGTATTATTTTATTTGCCTACTACATGGCCACTTGCTAGATTTTGTGGAAACCAATCTCAAATGCATCTTTCACACGAGTAACCGTCAGCGGCCAATACACGGCCTCCTGATTGTGGCAAAACATTGCGCCTTTGAGATTTGTGGTATCGTTTACACAACCTGTTGCATCGTACAAGTTGATGAATCAAAAGTTTTTTCCAAAAACTTCCACTGGAATGGCAGCATATCAATTTGCAACATTTCTCCGTAACGGTCAAAAGTGAGGGCCTAGTAAAGGCAATCAATTCTGGCTCCGCTAGTTGTCCCTATACATTATCGTTATTGACACACGCATGAACAAGTGGTCTTCATTTAGAAACAGATTTATTTTACTACTACATTACTAACAATAAAAAAGAGATTTGCTTTTGCAATCAAAATGTATTTGAATGGCAACCAGTAACCGGTTATACGGTGCTTGAATTAAAGATTCAGTACCATTATAGATTATGATATGCGGTTCGAATCACAAAAGCTCCAGACTCTGATCGATATCTGCTTGTTTTGGGAACCAACGGTTTCACTGGGAAAACAGGTTTTGAAAATTTGATAAGCCAACTGCACCGGATCTGCCATATTTTACTATTCAATCCATATTTTGCACTTAGCAATCACATAAAAAAAAACTGCTATATATAAGCAGAGATGAGAAAAAAAAAAAAAAAAAAAACCACAATCCAAAATTTTACTTGACTTGAGAGAGCATGATCGGTACAAGTAGTACCATCGACCCATCAATACCTTCTCTTGTCTTCGTCCATTTTTCGTTCGTGTTCGTGGTCATTAATATGTTGAAAGTTGATTCAGCAGTAAAACCATCATATTGATTGCAGAAATCAAAGGAATGGCAAACAGATAGAGATACCTCCCACCCCCAAGGGAAAAAAGTAGTAGTAAATCAGTAAACAGGTTTCCTCCTCTGTGCTAATGCAAGAGCCAAGAAAAGAATGACAAAAACCAGCAGTGGCCCTTGGAAGGACAAGCTTTGAGAAACTGACTGGTAGACACATGAGTGGATGCTTAGATAGCAGCCCCTCCTGCCTGCTCAGTGTCTCCAACTCGTACAAAGGAAACAGTTCATTTGAATAATTGATCCTTAACAAACTGCATACAAACCATATATAGCTGATGGCCTCTTCCTACCGAAAACTGATCCTTTACCAAGGTAAAAATTAAACACACTCTATCCAATCAATTAGCACTAGTACAATAATAAGACTGAGATATCCTTTTCATGTGGCATACGTGAAAAATGAAATGATTCAATTTTTATTAGGTGAGTTGGCCACGAGGTGAAACATAACATAACATGCAGGCTAGGCTAGGGGTTCAAACATTTGCATCTATAGTAAAATTCAAAGAGTATGCAATAATGCACATCGTTGATCTAGAAGTGGAATCCTCATTTAATATAAGTTGGACCCTTCCTTAATATAAGTTAGAATAGAAAGTTGCGGTTGACCAAAAAAAAGGAAAAAAAACTTCTAGCTTAAATCACATAAAAAGAGAATTAATGAATCTTAAATCCTCTTCTCTTGGATTACATCACATCTCAGACGAAAGAGACAAAACAAAAAAAAAAAAAGTGTCACTCATCAATCCGGAATCACAATTTAGAAAAAAAATCAAAATCAAAGGCAAATTATGGGTTTCTCTTTTGTGTATGAATTTTAAAACAATGAAATCTTAAAGAACTGATACCACCATTTCCTTGGCACAAGTGCCTCACCACCATTTCGGCAGCTTTCACCTGTGGGCCGTGACCAAAGTCTCAATGAACCTCAACCCATCGAATCTTGGAGCAAAATTCTCCTTTTCTAGACTTGCCTTCCGCCCCCAATTCTTTCCCCTCTCATTCCCCGCCGGAGAAGAGGCAGAGGATTGTGAAAATTCCTGCTCCAGAAGATATCCATTTCTTAATTTTGTTTTCGTTAAATAATCACAGAGGATCTCTTAGGGCGCAAAGATTCAAAGTGAAAATCAATTAACCAACAAATTCAACAATAATAACATAGACAAATATATATCAATACCTGATTGGGACAAGGGGTGGCAAAGGTGAGGTGGCGGTCACCTGAGGAGGAGGAGAGGGCCACCGTGGAAGCGGAGAGAACGCACACAACGAGAGCGCATGATGAGCCTTTCATCTCTCCCAGCCGTCTGATTCTTATGGGGACGTTCAATCCCCAATGCGAAATTTAATTTGACCGGATTGGAAGAATCCGACGAACTCCCCCACCGGATTTCGCACTGGCCTGCCGCTGCTGGAGAATATTTTCCGCGGGATAAATCTTCTACTACAAATTTTTGGATTAAATTTTTATATATTGTCAGTATAAAACTTTTTCAAATTAGCAGTTATTAATGTATGGCAAAAATTGGTATTTTTAAGACGCATGCAACATTATTTAATGTATCTGTGGGCAACTTTTTTCTTCAAACATTTAAAAAAAAAAAAAAAAAAAAAATCGGGTGGCTTTTGACCGCTGGTTGGATGACTCGCTGGTTGGGTACAAATCCCACGCTTTCCTATTTGTAACTTGAGTAATCACCTAATATTGGTTCTGCTCCGCCCCGGCCCATATGCATGAATCCTATATTTATTATTAATTAATGCCCACATCCAGTATTGGGGTAATTTAGATTTGAGGAATAGTTTGTTGTTTAAAGACAGACAGCTCTACCTTGTACCGTTTGAACACCTAATCTTCCTGCAAAAAAGCCAAACTAGCTATATATAATCAAACCTGAAATGATTTCGTATGAACTCCGGATGATGCATTCAATGAACTCCGGTCACGTGTGACACGCTCCTTCTTCTTCAACTCTGGATTGAGTCTCAGCTTAAGATCCTTGAACTTGGAAGGCTCTCTCGTGTTTTTTTATGCAGACGCGCATGGTGAATCAGTTTGACATATGATAATACCACCACTTCCTCAGGTTTTTCAGAAAAAGCCATAAAATACCCAAAACCGCCCCTTCCCTCACTGCTGCTAGTGCTATTGATTGTTTTTGTCATCCTCCATCCATCCCCAATTGGGCCCACACGGATCTCTCGAATTTAAATCATATCACAGTAAGTACTATGAGAATAATTTGCAAATGGCTCATTATTTCAATACCAACCAATTTTCCCATCAAAAGAGGGGAGAATGGAGGAAAAGCTCCGACAAAGGAAAAGCTCTAAAACAGAAACGAGGTAAAAGTTAACTTGCAGCAATTGCTAGCTTTTCTTCGGTGGTGACGAGAAGTGGGAAGAGAGACGATGAGGAGAAAAAACCTAAAACAATTGCGGGCCAATTAGATTTATTATTATTATTATTTCTGCAATGTTCTTGGGAGACAAAAAATACAGTGTCTAGTAGTACATAAATAAAAGTAGAAACAAATGGCTGAGGTTAAGCGAAAGGATCAATGGAGGAAGGTGAAACTTCCGGTGCAATCAGCAGATACTTCAACCATGCATGTATTGACATTTCAAAGAACATTAACCATGCAACCTATTCTCTGTCTCTCTTCTCCCGACCTGTTCTTCTGGCTCTGTTACAGACAGGGAATGTTTAACACCTTCCCCACAACCCTCGCAATCCGATACCCTCCGTTGAGGAGCAGCAGTAACGCCCTCAGAAAACAATCTTCCACGTGCACCGGCTCGACATCACAACTGCTTACCCATCTTTACAAACCTTCTAGCAACTCCAAATATGACTGCTTTTGTCAAAAGCCCACGGTCTAGAGTGCAGGCAAGGGCAATCGCCCCACCAACAACTAAGTACTTGGGCAGGTTCCTCCCAGATGGCTTCTCTGGTGATGCCAGAGTTTCAACCTCAGACAAACTGCTCGTGCTCTCCAACCACCTCAGGTAGTCCACGCTAACTTTTGAATTGATCTGAGCCAAGAACGCACAGCGCGAAAGTGGCACTCCAGATGCTCTTTGCTTCTGATATGCACGTAAAGCGGGGTCAATTTTTTTGACAGCACCCCACATGCCTTGTCGCACGCCAAGTTTTGCAATCTCCCAAGGGATACCCATGTCCTCATGATGAAAAAGCAACACCTCGCACGCAGTCAGCTGGTCACCTCTCCTGGATTCAACTGTTACAAATTCAAGTTTCAAAACGTGAATTAGTTGTTATGAATTCAAAAACAAGCCTCTAAGTTCCAAAGGGGTTAAACAATCTTCCACATCTATGGCAAACTCACTTGCTAAAGATCTTCAAACAAACAATTCAATTTTGGAATTGTAGATGGAAAAGAATTTGTGATTAATTTTAGCAGACAAATGTAAAGCTGTTACACTTCTACAATATTACATTACTGGCATCCTGCCAATACCATCGAATCAGTTTCTAAAACCAACAAGTCAAACTGACTACCTGCACGGATGCACCAACTGGAATAGTATAAATCAACACGTCTTGGTTTTTGACGGCGTGGAATAGTGGAGTTTGGCACACCCTGAAATGTAGAGAGACATACTCCAATTATTCCAGTGACAGATATAAGCATGAACATGTCCTAAAATGATGTATAGAAGACACATATTAACATAAAAAAATCAGTGTATGAATGCAACAACCCCAACGATATAGGTCCAAGGACACCTTCGGAGAAAGCAGTCACAAGGGTCAATTTATGGGACTCGAATTACTGATAGGAAAAGTCCAGCACTGCAAAGAGTTCACTTTTACCATTGAAATAAGAACAACTTGCAGCACACTATTGTAGCTTGCCTACTAAGAGTAACACTCTGTATGCATGTGTGCAGGCATCGATACCACTGGTTTCTAATAATACATGTGTTTTTTCCACCAGATCACAAGAATAGAATACACAGAAACATGATAAGTGAAGAACCCAAAGGCCAAATCAAGAAACAAAATAGAGATGAAAGATACCAACATTTCTATCTTCAGTCCCCTTCTTTAGCCTCAAACAGTTCCATATAGACAGAACGAAAATCTCTATCAGCAATATACAAGTAGAAATACAAAAATAATACCCCTATATACCAAATGCTGGCTTTCACATGGCCGAAGGCAACAACAGAGATGTAACCTAAATAGTATGTCTGGTCTATAACCACACAACAGTATTCTATATTTATGTTAAGGGGAAATGAAATGTGTCCGATGCTCTTGGGAAAAAAGGAGAAGAGATGAGAAGACAAAAGGTTTTTATGAACAAAATATAGTCTCAATGAATGATTTTCATGTCCTACCATTTACACCAAATTGTGGACCGTAACAAAGATTCAAGCTTTAGTGGCTTTGACCTATCTTTGGCTTTACCCTATAATTCTCAGATTTCTTTCGTCTGAATCAATTCAAGTTGAAAGTCCAAATCCTTTGTGCTCTTCTCTCTTTCCTCCCAATCACTTCATTCAAACCGTGTAACGCACTAAAAACTCAACCTTGAGAGTGTCATTCAGAGAAAGAAGGATCTAAAGGTGCACGGTAGTAGGGAACAAGGAACCATAACAAGAACCAAAGAATACACAATCAAAATACTCAGTGAAGCAAGCCATCTAAAACCAGAGACAGTCAAGACATTAACCATGAAAATTGGAGATTGATCCATGCCTATTCATTAGTCTGCTCTTTGTCACCAGCAGATTTTAGGAGCAAAAGTCATACAATGCTTTTGACCCCCAGAATAGTTTAAAGCAGCTCCAGAGCTCAATATCCCTTTTTTCAACCAGAATCCTAGTCATCTGATAGACAAGTCAATTCATTAACCTGTTTTAGTCAATTTTCTAAACCTCTACCTGTTCCTTGACTATTGCATGGAATAAACTTGAAAGCTCTATTGGTAATGCTGCTGTAAAATTCAAAATCCCCACTTCTAGTAGAAGACATTCCGCTAGTCTTATCTCACAATTGATAAGAATAAGGGGGTAAAAGTGGAGCGCAGAAAAGGAGAAGAGAAAGGCCAAAGGATTAATATCTAGTTTTGTGTTGCTTGAATACAATTGATGTTTCCCATCCCACAAACAGATTAATCAAATTTCTTCCCTATACAATAACAACAGACATCCAAATATTCCTGCACATACGACAAACTATCAGGCAGTACCACACACGTAGATTCAGCCAAACTAGATGCATGAGAAGTCATTTATTCTTTAATTTCAAAGATGAACATTTCTCCCCCTACCTTTGTCACGCAATAGTATGTATTTCCCGATCTCCAAATCCGCCGGCCCATGATGTACTCTCTGTCACTACAAAAGAAAGGAAACTGCACAAGAAAAGAAGAATGGGGTTATATAAGTGGCCAAAATACCGCCGCGACCAAAAAACACGAAGGAAGAAGACTATAAATAGTTAAATACACCTCCTTACCTTACGAACCCACTGGACCACCATGGTTCCAGTGGTAGGACAATCTTCCAAAGTTTCAGCGTGTGAGAGCATGTCATCCCATTTGAGCCTAAACTCATCGTCCCAAAAAAAATCCCTCACCAGTTCGGGAGTAGCATTCTCATACACAGTTCTAGTGCGGTACTGCGGTGGTCCAGTCTAGAAAAGACAGATGCAGTCAATTGGATACATTCAGGAAAGTACAATCACAAGTCAACTTCCAGAAACAGGATTGAATTCTCAAAGCTGAAAACTTTAAAGAAATAACTACCTCAGGATCCCTCCGCCAAGCTTCGTAGCTCATATTATCATTAGACCGATTCATCATCTGAACCCAAGAAGGGCCACCGTCTTTCTCCTTAGTGAGCAGGCAAATGTGCTTAAGGTCATCCTCATTCACAAGACTGGACTTTTCTACATTTGATGAACTGAACAAATGGAATTGCGACTATTGTAATTGGAGACTTTATGCAAAATAAAGACTAGATGATCACACTTAATTTGTTTGCTCGCGTTTGACAAGCAGGGCCACAGCAACGTAGAACAATTTAGAAATTCAAAGAAATACACTTGTATAACAGCAACAAGATATTTCGACCAACCAACCAACCTAGGAGGTGAGCTTGAAGAAGAAGGCAAAGCGGGGGGATTGTGTTTGTCAAACCCATCATCAGCAGAGACGCCAGGAATGCAGCTGTGCAGTTGAAGTATTTTGAACGAATTGAAGCTCGGAACGAAACCTGACAAGTGTTGCACGACCATCCCACGTATAGAAGAAAAGGAAGTAGAGGAGCTGGAGGACACACTCGCAGAAACAGAAAAGTCGCCGTTGAAATTAGCCCACGTGGGCTTCCATGTCCAGCCCACTAAAACCCCAACCAAAACCGCAATCCAAAGAGGAGCCGCAAACATCATCAGCTGCGTTATGACATCCAAGATGGAGAAGGAGGGCCCTTGAAATATCTCCAATAAAGCCGATACCAAAACCATTCTATAATGGATTTAATGATACTATAAACAACTCACTCTCTCTCTTGAATCAGGAACTGAGGAATTCTTCTATAAACGTCTAAATTAAAAGCTTGAAAAAAAAAGGAAAAAAAAAACCCCCTCGATTCAATCGCAGAAGGTGCAGCCTTGAAGCACAGCGATGAGTCGAGGGTTTGTCAAAAAGAGAGAGACCAAAAAAAAATGAAGAAGATAAAAGGTACACAGAGAATGAAAAATTTACAGACAGAACAGGGGAAGCAAAAAAGGATGTAGAAAGAGGAGGAGTGAGCTGGGGGAGAGAGCGCGAAGAAATGAATGAAGAGATATATGGGATTTTGAGCAAACAGTAGTAATAATCGGGGATAAAAGGAAAAGACGAAGAAAGGGGGGGAAAATGAATACTACCGCAAAAGGAGACAAGGAGCTGGGGGTCGTTCTATCATCTATGGGGGTGTGGCGTCGAAGAAGGTCTAGGGAGGATAAGGATGTCAGGGATTAGACTTTAGAGGTAGGGAGACGCGTAGTCGGGATTCCCCATGCCCCACCCGCGGATTTTTGTTCCTACTTCACATGTATTGTGTTGGTGTTCTTTTCTTTCGCTATTGGTAGATAAGTAGTAGTAATAATAAAATTAA